ACCAATTATTTACTACATTTTTTTAATAAATCAAGCCAAAATTCTTGCATGTTGTTTTATTAAATGGAGTCGCTGCCCGCCGTGCGGCGTACAAGCATGTGACGCATTAATAAGGCTTCGTAATAACATGGACGCATACCGAGTTTTCATTTCGACTCTGTTGGACAGCACGGACTTCAAACTTTATAAAAGTGGTGTTTTTATATTGGTTTTGTGGTTATTTACTTCAAAATAAAGCCAGAAATAAGATCGATCATTTCCGCCTTATTTTGTGGGGTCTAAATGTACCACATTTCGAAACAACCAATAAAAATGTGTTGACGGTCTGTTGCTAGGTAGAACGGAGACACGCGGAAAGAGACGAGGGGGGGGATTTGGATACGGCAAGAGACTAGGGCACAGTGATGCTGTGGATTTTACTAAGAGTGTTTCGATGGGTTTTTTAGACTATAAGTGTGTTAGTTAGAGTTCGTGGTGTGTGCAGGGTTAGTAGTAGTTTTGCTAGCTATCGCTACATGGCTTCATACCGAGCGCTGACGCACAGAGAAGAGAGACTCCACGCCGGGATGGCCATTTAGACCTCGACTTCAAAGGGTTAATATTTTACTCCATGTTGGTGCTGATGGAAGTTTTGTATTTTAAAATCTGCTATCAAAAAGACAGTTCAACTTCTGGCCAGACATTACAGTCCTATTCAATAAACTGAAATATTATTGCAAATTGAGCTTTTTTTTTTTTTTTTTTTTTTTTTCAAAAACTCAAATTAGTAATTTAAATAGGTGATGTAGCTTAATGACAGACTCATTTTTTGTTTGTTATGTTGACTTCTCTGATTAAAGCTAACAGAAACATGACTCTTAGGATTTGAATAATTACATCAGACTTATAAAATAAAGAGTGAAGGTTATTTTAAGAAAAAACCCTTAATCTGACAAACAGCGTGTCAAATAGAAAGGGCTGAAAATGGGTGACAGTTGTATTTACAGTAATGATTATTTGCTTATGCACATCTCTGGGTAAAAGAGGGACACCAAGCATAAACACATTTTTGTGTCTATGTTGCTCAGTTTCAACAAATTTTTCTCCCTTCACTGATTGTCAAGCTAATCTTTCTTGCTGATATGTATTTTAATTATCACCCAAAATAGTCTAGAAACATAGGCGGCCATTACCAGCATGCACTCTGTGGCTGGGTGGTAAGTCTGAGGCTTCTACACTGAAATTGCCTAGAAATGTACTTTATTTTTTACATGACTGCATATACAACTTTGAAATGGAAAAATAACTTCAGATGGAAATAATAATGCAGGAAAATGTTAATACTACGTTCCTCTAGAATAAATGTGAACATCAAGTGTAATACAAAGATCGTCACATGATCCTGCGTGAACCTTGACATTTTTGACAGGCGTTTTCTTACTTTTGACATAGTTTCTGCTCTGCTGTCCACTTGATGGAGACGTGATCAGTCCAGGATGTGTCAGGGCCTCCCTCCCAGTAACAGATGTTGCACTGACAGTTTCATCTCTTGCTCAGATGGAGGAGAAGTGGCTACAGAGAACGCTGCTGCCGGCTGTGTGGCTGTGCAGCGTGCTGCTTGCTCATCAGGTCAACAGCTGCCCGCATGCTTGTAGCAAATGTTTAGGGCAAGAAAATGACCTCTGCAAAGAGTGCAAGACTGGATGGGCTCTCTATAACTTCACATGTGTAGGTAATACATACCAAGCTTTTTTGTATAAATATGAGCATCATCTCTTTTACAGTGTCTGTCAACACCTCGGGTGGTTGAGCGTCTTTGTGTTTTGGTCGGTTTCAGACATCGATGAGTGTGGCACTGAGCTGGGTTCCTGCTCTCCAAACAGTTACTGCGTCAATATAGAAGGCTCCTTTGAGTGCAGAGGTCAGGCATTATTATGGTTTATTTTATTTACTGAAAGAGTATCCATTCAGTAAATTAGAATATTACTGAAAAGCCAGTTTATTTTAGAAACTTTATGTTTTTAGTGAAACATATCATATAGATTAATTACAAACATGATGTGTGAAAGCCTTTATTTTTGTTTTCTACTTACAGCTAATGTAAACATGACATTTAAAATTAGATCACATCAGAACAATAAAAATTATTTTTAAAAATAAATGTTTTTGATATCTGCTAAAGATTACTTTCAAAGGTAATTTAATTCAGACAAGAAAGATTAAATTACTTTAATTTACTGAAAATGAACATACTGTATGTTGTGAAAAATCTAAATATCCTTATTGATTCTGATGACATATAAAGCTGATATTTATCCATTTACGACTGTTTAGTTTTTTTTTCTTTCTTTTTTTGTAATTTCCTGACATCGAATGTTTTTTTGTTTTTTTTTCAGTTCAGATTAGGTTCGGTATTTAGATCAGTCATGATAAAATTATCCTAGAGGTTTATGTTGCATAAATATTTTGGTTTTGAGAAAAAGAGTAGTCAATATTTTTTTTTACTGCTTCTAAAGTCTTTACCTCAAAACTCATCCTATTGATTTATGTTTTAGAACGTTGTCACTCATTTACTCATTTACTCTCAGAATGCAGTGGGATGAAAAGTCTCTGTGTTTCCAGGCTGTGATGTGGCCTGTGTTGGCTGTATGGGTGGCGGACCAGCTCGCTGCAGAAAATGTGCTCCTGGCTACAGACTGATGGGCTCCAAGTGTTTAGGTTAGTGTGAATAACAGAAGAAACTGCCTCTGATAAATATGCAAAAATGCTCTGGAATCATACCTTCAAATCAAGTAGATTTATTCTTTGACAAAAAAAAAAAAAACATGTTAATGAAAAGTCCCAGAGTATCTTAAATTATCATGTATTTACCTCCCCTTCCAGCATCCTCACTTTGAGTTGTAGCAAGATTAACACAAAACCTTGCAAATAAATGAGCAAAATGTTTTTGTTTGCTCAGATGTAGACGAATGTGGTGACAGAGTACTTGCCTGTCCTGGTCTGGATGAGATCTGTGTCAACACAGAAGGCTCTTTCCGCTGTCGGTGTGCCGAAGGCTTCATCAGGAAGGACAGTGTTTGTTTAAGGAAGCAACTGCCCAGTGAGTCAAATGTTGATTTTTTTTTTTTTTAACTCTCAAAACACTTGGGTTGAAAACAGAAAAAGAAGCTTACAACTCTCCTGCAGATGCTCAAGAGAAAGGTCTCTTTGAGGATCTCCAGGATGATGAAGTGGAGGTGCTGCAGCAGATGTTTTTCGGGGTGTTGCTTTGCGCTCTGGCCACGCTGGCAGCCAAAGGAGATCTGGTCTACACATCGATATTCATGGGAGCAGCAGCAGCCATGGCAGGTTACTGGCTCTCAGACAGGGGTGACAGTGTCTTAAACAACATCCTGAGAGGGCGCTAATGCCCCCCAAATTTTTACGAATGGGACACATTCAGCCTCAGATATGAAAGTAAATCCAACTGCTATATTTTCTGAAAAACTTTCAATGTTCTGATGAGCCTCGTTAATCAGATTAAAAACACCTTTTGTAAACAAGCTTTAAGGAAACAGTTTTAAATGATTTCTGGATTAATAATAATTGCATTGGTCTAATGTAATATTGTATGTACTTAATCTATATAGTGTGTTTCAGTTAGAGAATGTGTTCAATAGCATTGTTTATTTGAGATCCACCCCTACAATATAGTACACGACTATTTATATTAAACATTTTTTATTCAAATCATCCTGAAGGCAGCCATTCAGCTTCATGGTGTGTACATTTTTCAGACACATTCTTAAAATATACATTAGATTTTTCACACCGATGAGATATTTTATGCATTTTTAAATGCCCTGTGTGATGCGGTGTACTTGTCATTCACTAATTCACCCAGTACAATGACTCTTATGCCAGTGGTTTGAAGACATAGAACATGGCTAATGCTCTAATGATGTAAATGCACTATTCTGTTATTGCTGTATCTATAGAAATGTAAATCTTTTTTATCTCCATGTAAAATAGTTTATGTGCAGCCATTGCTTTTATGGGTAGCAATTACTACATACAAAATGAGGCACGCCGATTTTAAGGATTAAATCACCAACAAAGACAGAAAGAAAGTCACTTTTATTTGATGGATATAAACAAGCTGGCCAACACTCAATAGTATTATTCTGATACAGCACAGACAATAGCAAACTGGGGCACTAAGGACAGCCTCCTATTGTTAAAAAAGCAAACAAACAAAACATTACATAGTATCCATGCGTCAATCGAAACTTGCCCACTTCTTTTCTTTAATGACTGGCTGATAAAGTTCTCTCTTTTTTTAAAACAAATTAGTCTCTTTTGCATTGATAACACTTACACACATTCTGTTATCTGCACTCACACACACACACACACACACACGTTGCTCTCTTTTTCTGAATACATTTACACCAACAACACCCCCACACCTGGGAAAAAAAAAAAAAGAAAAACACATGCTGCGCTCTCACAAAACTGCACAGGCTGTCTACTAAGGGGACACAGTAAGTGAGACACACATCACTCTCCAACACAACATCACACAGTCACAATGCACAATGCAGATGCAAGAAATGGATGAGGACTGATGCTGCATCAGCTCACGTTCACACGAGTGGTCATTCAGCATGCTGGACACACATTGAGTTTTGTTCCTAGGTCTGTTACTGTACAGCTCAAAATATGCACCGTTACAAATAGTACTGTCTCGAACTGGTATTCTTAAGTAAGCATAAATTATAGAAAAAATAAAGCTCAACTTAAATACAAAACTGAATGAATAAAAAAGTAAAAACTTGACATTTCCTTTGCTAAATAATAATAATAATAATAATAATAATAAATCTGCCATTGGTCACAGTGATTTGTTCAATCAAAAAGTTTCAGCAACGAAATAATAAAATAAAGACTATTACAGCAAAAAATAAAAAAAAAGAAAAAAAATATGGTTGGCTTTTTGTAGTTCTTTCAAAGGCCTTTAAACATGACTGGTGAATCTACACAGCTGCTTCTAGGCATGGATAAAGAATCGCCTGTTCGTCTTCAGTCTGAGCACAGGAAACAATTTCCCAACCTTCGAGTTCGGCGTCCCCTCAGCTTTTAACGATTATATTTTTAGATTTTTTTTTTTTTCCGTTTGACACGACAATAGAGAAATCACTGCACAGAGTACAGTAGATTATCCATACACCATCACCTTCAATTGGCACATAATGTAAAAATCAGCTTGCATGGGCACAATTAAAATGTTGTCTATCGTTTAAATAATGTCTGCTATATCATGGTAGGAAAACTCCCTACTTCAAGTATTCAGTAGATAAGGACCTGAAAATGGAGGATTCGTAACCCCCCGATGGTGAAGTGAGGATTTATGCTCCTCTGTCTGTTTGCGCTGTCTCTCTAATGATAAAAAAGGCCTTCATATCAAGATTTGTAAACAAAAACAAGCAAACAACGTCTTGCTGAACCTGTTGGTTTTTGTTCAATGGTGGGAGCTGCTTCTTTGGGAATGACAAAAGTAAAAAAAAAAAAAAAATGAAGGGTGGATCACCTTGGTTTGAGAGGATTTGGGTGAGATGGAGAGACATTTGTTTACAGTAACCAACACTTGACACACAGACACCGGGAGGGTCGAGGAAAGCAGGAGGGCATTAGTAACAGTCAGCTTCATTTTCTCATAATACTGTAACAACGTGATGGTTCTTCTACCTAAATCAGCTGTCACGGTCACACACACGTCACCACTTCAGTTCACATGACGACAACAACAAATACACGTAGGAGAAATGCATCCAGACAGAGTCACTGAAACCTCTCCTTGGAGGATATTGTGATAGTCCTCATTTACAAGTGCAAGCTTCTGCTTGCAGCAGAAGGAACCTCACTGCTACCTGTGAGAGCTACAAAACAAAATCAAAAATACTTTTTCTCTGTTTAAAGTTGTCACCACAGGCTAAGTGGTCTTCAACTGAGTTGATTTAGTGTTAAAGACATAGTTAGGGATTTTAAGAAGTGGGATTCTGGGCGTTTGTCATCAGCAGTCGGAAGTTGCTTATTTCCTTTTACAAATTGCCTTCGGTTTTGTTTTCTGTCATGTTAATGTTTTAGGTAATTAATAAATCTAGATAACAAATAAAGAAAACTTGAATTAGTACAAAATGCTGTTTTCAAATGATGATTTTATGTACTAATGCGAGAAAAGCTGTCCAAACGAATGAAAAGGTACTGACAGACAAGCGAAAAAAAAGAAAACACGCTTAAACAAATAAAATTGGCATCTCTATTTTAAAAAAAAAAATGTAGTACTGGTTCATGAAAACATCACATCCCCTGACATGATGTGAAAACTATTTAGTACTGAGGTTGTGAATATCCTTTTCCTAACGGCTCTTGCACACATATATTATCCTAATCTTTATTATGTGTAACATTAGTTTCAGTTTCACATTGAACATCCACAGAAAACTCACGTTACCTCACATATAAAATAACGCAGCGTAAAAAGATTAATAAAATAGCATTCACTTGAGCCACTCATTGGTTTTGCCTAAATTCCTTAAACAGTTTTTGTATGTTTGTTTGAATTTTAACAAACATAATTGCAATATGTCGTCATTGATGAGCCTCAGGGAAACACACCTCGCTGCTTAAATAACAACAAACTTTCATGTAAACGATTGTCCCAAATAAAAGCAATGTTAATGCAAAGAATGACAAGATAGTGCACATGCTGCTAAAAGTTATTGTGAGAGACCAAAACAGTTCTGTGGAACTGGATCCAATCTGACCTGTTGTCATCTTGACTCTACAGTGGGAAATAATTTCCCTTCATCCAAATTGAAATTGTTCAGTGAACTACATTTGAAGCAAAATGTCCAACTGCTGATATAAATCCCACAAGAACCCCCTCCTCAAAAACTCCCAACTATCCCTTTAAAGGAATGTAATAATGGCGTCTTTTCTAGACAGCTAGATAAATTTGGACACACTTTCCCATAAACTGCCACTCTGAACCTTATTTAATATATTTTATGTCTTTCTTCTTCTGGATTGGTCTGTATTTTCAGATAGGGAATGTTAAGCTGCTGAAGGGTTTTATCACAGCGTACAAATCTGAGGAAAATTTCACCCATTGCAGCACTCTTAAATAAAATATCTCTGACCTCGAGCCAGTTAGAAAAATAACCATAAACGGAAAAAAAAACCATATAGTATATCTTATTAGTTTTAAACATTTTTGACCACATATAGACACACTCTATAGATTTCTCTCTATATGTATAATATATGCATATCTATTTTTTGTGTACAGATTTTACGAGGCACAGGCCACCTTGTTGAGAAGGAGAAAACAAGTCACTATGTGTGGGGAGGTCACACAGGCTACTGCTGGAAGATTATGAAGGAGAGGGGCGAGGACTCATCGAGAGACTGGGGTGTCACTGGAACCACTTAGATCTGCAGAGAAAACGTCTACTTAGCGTCACAGTCTCTTCTGAGGCCAACGGCAGCCATAGTTTTGGAGAAAATGTTGAATTATTGTTCACAAAGCTCCCTCCCCTCCCCAGATTTTAACCAGTAGTATATATATATACAAAGCAGTCTTGTACTGCTGCTTATGAAGCCCATTGTGGGACCAAGTCCCTCTACTGTAAAAGGACTAAAAGATGCTCTGGTTAGATCTTCTGACACCATTTAGTTTGAGCACCAGCAGAAGCACCATTAGTGAAAGTTCCTGCCAACACAGAGGAGGTGCATAGTCGCAGAAAATCAAAAGAACCTAATGAATATATTCTGACCACTCTCTTGGCAGCTCTGATTGGTCAAGTACAATTATAATTAATTCAAATATACATGGAAAAATAAAAATGCATTATCTCTATGTTGATATCTGCATAGACTGATTTTTTTCTTTTACTATTTCTGACTAAAGTGAGGTAATGTGAAGGGAAAAAAAAATGCTGATGAGAGCCACTACTTTGAGGCAAAAATGAGGCCCCAAAACCAGAGGTTTGTGCAGCAAAGGAAACACTGCAGGAAAGTCACTCAAGGCGCTCCACAGGTGAACAAAAAGTGCTTCCTTGTGCCAACAAAAAATGGCAACAGAAAACCTAAAGTGACTTCAATGTGTTGATGACATGCTAGTCAAGATAGACATCATAATAGGAAGAAATGCCTAACACGTGACCTCGAAGATAAACGCGACTTGTCTGGACGTAAAAGATAGCAGAAGACACTCCGAGGGCCGTTAGCGATACGCGGAGGGGTCAGATGTCACTAGGTGAGTCAGGAGGGCAGTGAGGATGAGTGTCAGGCCTAGAAGCCGGTCAGAGCTTGACTTTAACAGTCAACAAGATAACAACCATTTTAAAACGAATGATGTGGTTTGATGAAAAAAAAAAAATAACGAAACGTCTTTACCGGCAGAATCATAAGTTCTCTGTTGTGAGGATGAAGAGGGGTTATTCAGCAGGTGACAGACAGGTGAGGTGACTTCTGTGACACCTCTGCTGCAGGGTGCCTGTGGTAGTCGTGTCCGTTAGAGCAGCAATTTGTCTTCTGTGTCTCCATCAGCGCATCATTTTAGATGATTTGTGAACACTGTGGAGGATGGTCTTCCTATTCACGCAAAGCGAAGGCCTCACCTCACCTTGTGAGGAACATAAAAACAAAGTATGGTTGGAAATGCGTGGTTTATGCTTGCACAGCAAGAGAGATAAGTACTGAACATGGCAATGGTGGTCATACATACAAAGAAAATACGATTTAGTCGCTAAATTAAGTTGTGTGGGTTCAACACTGGGAAGTTACATGAAAGAAACGATTGCAAAGAAAGTCAAGAAGTGGCTGAAAATGTACAGCAACCATTCAATAATTCACAGCTGGTTTAGTTCTGCAGAGGTGTTTCTCACTACAAAGATATCCTTAAACCTTTACAGCCACACTGTTACAAAATGCACTGATGCCATTAGATGAGGCCATATTTCCAAACTTCTGAATGTTTCCGCAAACACCGTTATGATCATAATCCAGAAGTGGAAGAAACATAATTTCACCGTAAACCAGCCATGATGGGGTGGTCCTCACAAGATTTCTGACAATGAGTCACTACGATAAACAGAACCAGAATTAGAAGAATAATTTGATTACATGAAAACAAAAGACAATGCACTAAGCCTCATGGCCTCCAAACAAGCTCACTGCACAACACTCCACTGCTGAAAAAAAAATGCATAATGAGGCTTGTTTGAGGCTTGCTGCAGAGCATTTAGATTAGCCTCTAAAATACTTGGGTATTATAGTCTGGTCAGATGAGACGAAAATTTAACTCCATAGTAGCACAGGTTAAGTTTGACCGAACTACAGCACAGTCAGAAGTCTATGTCTGAATTTAGTCTATGTCCAAGTTCAGACATAGACTTCATATAAGGATATGGAGATTCTCATCTCTTGATGAGAATCTAAATATTTTCAACAAGAAAATGATGCCAACCACACTGCCAAAAAAACTGTCAGATGATTTGGAGAGATAAAGCCTGCAGCCGACGGCCAAGACCTACGATCGAAACTGAAGATCAGGGTACAGAGAAGACGGCTCCTTGAGTCTTCAGGGTTTGTAGAGAGGTTGTGAGAAAGAATGTGTCACCATCACAGCAAACTGGGTTGCTGCCAACCTCTGGTTTCATTGTCATATTTTTGAGCAAAACGTTGACATGTTCAGTACTTATTGTTTCCTCTCTGCGTGTTTTTTTATTTTCAAAAGTGTGCAGAAGCACATTTTAATTACCTGCTCAGCTGCCAGTCTTCATGCAGGACCTGAAAACCTGAGTACCTCCTCCTGTTCCTCAGAAAGAAATGTGCAAAACATAACAAAACAAAAGACAAAAGTAAAATAAATAAATAAATAAAGGTCCCACTGCTCAGAAGTACTGATTCACTGAAGGTGATAAATGTTTATTTGGGTGGTGTTTCAACATCTTGGGATGACCATGCTCCTCCAGTAGTGACTGAATCTCCTACATGAGAGAAAATAATCAGGTATGACAGTAAAAAGCATAGCATTGTTCAGTTTGTGGTATATACAATGTAAACAGCTTCAGAAAGGTCTCAACTTACCCCTCAAAACAACATTAGAGCTTTGGTTGTCTCAGCTACGCCCAAATGCCCTCCTCATCATCCTGTTGTGCAAGAGAAAACACTTAGAGACCAGATTTATTTCCTACAGTGTTAGTTCTGCTGACTGATTCTACTGTACAAATTACACCATCACTTATGTCTTATGTGATAACCTCAGTGAGAGAGCAGCATGTTTTTGCTTTAAATGCCATTTTGCCCCCACATTAATTTTAGTTGCGTACTGTGTCTTCCAGAATGATTGTTTTGTGATGGGATGTCCGTCGGTCCTGTGTTTTAACCCTGGAAAACACTTTTGATCTAAAAAGTGTTGAACGTCATTGTGTGAAAAATGTGCAATCTTGTTATTTTGTCATTCGTACGGTAGGCGCTTACTGACCTGGTCTGGAGAGGGACGGTGACCTGCGTGTGGCGGTCCACGGGCCGGCCCTCCACGATGGTGAGGTGAGGGGTGATGGGGATGCTGGGCGTGGTGTGGATGTTGGGGATGCTGAGGGTGCTGAGGATGCTGCGGGTGAGGATGCTGCGGGTGAGGTCCTTGGGGGGGCGGGCCATGTGGGTGTTGGGGGTGAGGGTGCTGTGGAGCCGGATGTCCGTGTGGGTGCTGCGGCACATGCTGCGGGTGCTGTTGGTGCGGGTGCTGTGGCTGTGGGGGGCGTGGATGCTGTTGGTGTTGAGGAAGCGGTTGAGAGTGCTGAGGATGCTGAGGATGCTGCGGATGCTGAGGGTGCTGCGGGTGTTGCGCGTGTTGAGGATACTGGGGCTGCGGCTGCTGTGGATGAGGGTGCTGTGCCGGGGCTTGTGGGTGCTGCAGGTGCTGTGGGTGTTGGGGGTGTGTGGCGTGTGGATAAGGAGACTGCTGAGCGTGGGGAGGGTGGGGGTATTGGGGCTGTGGCTGAGTCTGAGCATGTGGAGGCTGCGGCTGGTGGTGAGGAGCGTGTGGATGATACTGCTCATCCTCATAGTTGTCGGCTATCAGCTTCATTCTGCTTTGTGTCTGAGAAGAAAATTATTACATCATGATTTGTTGTTTCAAGCTACCGCCTCTTCACACTAACCAATGGAGAACAAGCACACAACCTTAGAATAAACTGAGGGTTTTAACATCTATACAACTAATTAGTTAAAATTTACACTCATTTTAAGTTTTTCTTTAGCAAAATGTTCTATAATCTATTATCAATCCAGCAAACAGTGTCGTATGTTTTTATTATTGCTTTCTACTTATGAAGATATTACACATTTTATGATAAACATAAAGTACAAAAAGGAGCTGTAGGCTTTTCTTCAAAAAATATAAAGCACATCTCTTTTTGATGCAAAAAACTCCCAAAAGATTTGAATGTATTGTGATGCTTTGAAAGCGGCTTACAAAATTCAAACCAATTAAACCTTTTTACTTTTTCTCACATTATAGCCACAAATGTTTCTGAAATTTTATGTGACAGACCAATGTCACTCAGAGAAGTGAAAGGGAAATGGTACAGTTTCTCAATTAAAAAATAAATAAATAAAAAGAACAGCGCGTGCATTCGTATTTAGTTTCCCCAAAGTTGGTTAGTAGAATTATCTTTCACTACTTAAAAAGCTGCAATTCTTTTGGGGCATCTCTCTACCAACTTTGCAGATGTAGACACTGATAATCCTGTCCATTATTCACAGTGATTTACAGTAAAAAAAAATATTATGAAGAATGCAATATGATGATTGATGGTGCAAGTGCTTACATCAGTTTAGGTCAGTGTCAGTAGAGCAGACACAAATTGAACTAAGCAGGTTTTCTGCCTTTTTGGACTCAGAAATCTTATATTTTCTCCAGAAAATGGACTAGTGAGCAGTTAGAAATCCTTGCAGAAATATCTTGTGTTGAAGGACAAAATAAATAGACATTCAAATGATCCAAGTAGTCATCAGCACACACTAGGCAGAGTTAAAACACTGTAATCAGAGGCCTGGATAATAACAAATGAAACACTAAAGAAAGAACAAGGTTTGCTCTTAAGCTTCCACTGGTCTTTAGAGGCGGGTCATTTAGACCCCATGAGTTTTTTACTCTGTGCGCACGTTGTCACATTGACCCAGTGACAAAAAAAAAAAAAAAAAGTCCGACTGTGACATTTGCTGCACTCCACCTGAGCTGCGGGACGGTTAAAAGAACTTGTGTGGCAAGTTACTTCATTTTTTATTTTTTTGACAATGCTTGAAATGGTACTAACGTGTTGTTTGAGTTGGTGCATCAGTTTGTCCCGCTCTCTTTTCAGGGCCAGCACCTCCTCCTGGGTTTTCTTTTTATTGGAAGCAGATAGTTCGAGTAATGCTATGTTAGCGTCTTTTTCACTGATGGCTGCCAGCAGAGCTTGTTGTCTGAAAACAAATCAAAACAAAAAAAGAAAAACGTAGCACCCACACATATGAAAATTGTAGAACATTTATCGATTCTAAAACTGCACTGAATCTCTGTCAAATACAGTTCATATTCAACTCTACTTCACAACAAGATTAAGAAGTATTTGTAGTCCAGGTGTTTAACTTAACACGCTTGTGCAAAGAGTTGCAGGGTGAATTCAGCAAAGTTTGGCAAACTTCAAAAGACTTGACATAAATCAACTAGTTTATGTGATGCTTTACATATTTGAAGTGAAAAATAACATTAATGTGCACATGGCAATGCGTAGTGTCATTGTGTGCAGTACTGACCCTAATTTAAACCCTAAAGAGGGGACAACATACACAATCTGCTTTTTGATACAAAAGCTGTTTTAGTGGCATAAGCTGCAACATCTTGCCAAGTAACAATATAAAAGTGATACTTCATCTGAAATGAATTGGACAAATTGAAACTGTCAAGTATGCAGCAATACTGACTTCATTTCAAGGATCTCCTCCAGCTGCTTCCTGCGCTCTTGTCTCATGTTAGTAAGATGAGTGTCCCTCTCCTGTAAAGACTGCTGCGTGGAGGAGAGACGTTGCTTGGTGGCGTCCAGCTCCTGTCTCGTCCTTTCCAGCGTGCTCATCAGTTCCTCCAGCTGACGGACGGCACATCGGACAGAGCAGAAAACACACAGTGACTCAGTGCAAACGTATGAAGCGCTGCTGAGAAGTTCAAATACGCTTATCATGGGTGTGAATGTCATCTGAATTTTAAGCTTCTAGAACTAGAAGTTGTCCTACACAGTCCTATAAGGGTTTTAGAGAAAAAAAAAAAAAGCTAAACAAAACTTATCTTATTCCTCAACTAGTTCCTGGCACAGTTTATTTAAATTAACTGGTTAATTAACTGGTGTTGACCGCACTTTTAAGCCTGGTTTTAAGCCTGGTTTGTTAATGTTTAAGGTTCTCAGTTAAAGGTCATTTCAAAAGCTTAATGTTGTTGTGGTTCATCATTCAAAAATACTTTTAATGGGTGTTTTAGGAGTCATTATCTAGTTGGAACACACACCAAATTCAGTCATTAAAACATTTGGAGAAATGTTTTAACACACCTTTTTAACACAGATATGTCCATTTTCTACATGAACATATTTTCAACTGGATCTTAATTTTAAAACTTTGAAGTGAACAGTGGGATTTTTTTTAAAATAATGATCTTTAAGTGTGCTCAATTAATTATGACGCAAGTTAAACCACCTAGAAAAGACTGGATGAAAGATGTATGATGGATTTTTCTGGAAAAAAAAGTATTTTCTGCATAAACATATGCTAAAAAAAAATAACTTCTCTGAAATTTCTTAAGGATATTTTCCCCAAATATTAGTAGGGTGCGTGTATATATGAAGTTCAATTGATGAGAGTAATTTCACAATAGATTCAAACTTGTGCACATTCATTTTACTATTTAAAATCATCAAGTTGTTTATTACATCATAATTGCACCTTAAAAGACGGATATTGTACATTGAATGCATTTAAATTTATAAATGGCACTCCAGGTATTTAAACATACATAATCAGAGCTTATTATTTATGAAAGATAAGTTAAATACTCACCTTTAAGTGGTGACCACTTTCTAAAGAGCCTTCCTTGCGAGGATCTTGTCCTAAGCCTTTCTTGTCCCCTTGTAGTCCCAGTTTGATGTTGGAGCCTTTCTTGATCTGATCTTTACCTCCTTGCCTGTAAAATTTCACACTTCTAAAACTGTTCCATACCACAACAGTAATTAAGTCAAATCTAAAGGAGCTAAGATGTGAGGAGGGCACATTACAAACCCATAAAAAGGACGAGGAACCATAATGAGTACAAATGGAAGAAATGAGCTAGGCAACAAAGCATGAGCATCCCCATCTGAACTGAGCCTCATGTCATTGTTGGGCGGACTGAAAGGTTTCAGTGCAGGAGTTTGGGTCAACCTCAGTAGAGTTGGACTACGAGAGTTGCAGGGAAATGTCTTACCTTGGAGCTAAACTGCAGACAGGTAGATTTAAAGGTAGAAGACAATAGGATGAAGGACACGTGAAGAAAACATTGGAAGCAGGAAAAAACACACAGAAGAAAAGCAAAAATAAAAATGTAAAGAAAGTTTTCGAACCAAAATGTAAAACAAATAATAGTAAAAAAAAGAACACCTTGGGGGTATAATCATCCAACAACACTTGAGATTATAGACAAGCCTGTGACAGTCTGACGCAGCTTTTGCAGGATGCACTTTCTCTGAACAACATGGAGCGCTGTGCATCTGCTGCCAAGCCTGGGAGTGGCAGACATGCAGTCAGACAGGCAAAGAATTAGCCGGGCAAAAGATGAGGACGAGGAACGGGGGCAAGAAAGGAAGGAAGGGAAGCTAACAGTATTTTGATTGAGTGGGAGACAAAGGTTGAAGGGCATTAGTTGAAAATGCAGGGGATTCGTTAATAGAGCACACTCGATAGGATTCAGTCCAGATCCGACAAAATACAGCATCCCCACCCTGATGGTGCACAGACTAGGAGCACAGCAGCTTCAGTCATGCAGGTCATTTTTTCTGAGTATTTCCTTCAGTGTCTGTTAGGGTTAGCTAGGAAGACAGCTGGAGCAGACTGGGAGGAAGAGACCGGGAAAGAGAGAAGGTGCCAGGTGACGATGTAGAAAGGAAAACCTCAGTCAGAAGCACGAGTGTCACCGACAGAAAGAAATGAGGCGGATAGATGGGTGGAATGAAAAGGAGTGAAATGTGCCCATAGGAGAGGGAGGTGTAACAGCTGAGGACTGATACTTTTTACAAAAGCTTTAACAAACAGCCCATAAAACAACATATAATCAGAAAAGTCCTGTGTGTGTGTGTGTGTGTGTGTGTGTGTGAATGAGTGAAAATATGCTGCTGTCCACGCTGTTTCTTGGTAGGAACAACGTGTGCAGTAAAATCAACTCAAACAAATAAAAAACGGAGCAGAAAGAATCACACCAAGGTCTCACAGAAAATCAATCGCTTTCAAACGTATTCAGACTCCATAACTTTTTCAAATTTTGTCAAATTGCCACCACAAACTTCAATACATTTTCATTTGAGTTTCATGTGATAGAACATAGACAACGAATACCATGGAGCGGCACCAGAATGTGCCTCTCCATGTGCTTCAAATCCAAATTCAATTATTTATCCATGGACCTTCCACAATCATGCACAACTTAGTGTTGGTTTAGCAGATAAAATGTCAATACAATCCGTTCAAGTTTGTGGTTTATAAGCGACAAAATGTGGAAAAAGCTCAAGGTGTATCAATATTTTTCCAAGCCACAACAATGATGGGCTCAATTTAAACAGCAGCATCTTTGACAAACACCTGGATAATTGCTGGTGCCATAAATTGTAAAATGTGGTATCCTTGAGGTGAACTTTACACTTCATCATTGCATACACAAGCAAAAAAGAAACAGAAATATAAAGTAGAAAATGAACACCACATGTGCAATATTTAAAATGCACAATCCTGTGCAAAGGTTTTCAGTCATCCATCTTTTTATCTGTTTCACAAGGAGACAGACTTTCTGTATTTGATAACATTTTGTTCAACAGTTCTTCAGGCTTTCTGAAGGTCTATAATTTTCTGTCCGATAACAGATAACATTTTTAGTGAAGGTGTGTTTGTTTCTCCTCTCATTAAATTAAAGAGCCCTTTAATTCTTCCTCATTCATATTGTTGTATTCAGGCTTAAAAAGGGTCTTAAAGCTCAAGGCAAGAACTAATATTGTGTCCAAATAGGGCAGACAACTATGTAAAGACCCAAACTGGATCCTTATGCACTTTGTTAGAAGCAGCCAGTCACAATGCTTTCATTTGTTCTCATTTCATAGTTTGGGAAACAGAACTGAAACTGATCAAAAAAGTAGCCAGAATCCATGAAAAGCATGAACAACTTACAAAAACTAAAAAATAAAATAAAATAAAAAAATACAAGAAATTCTGGTCCTTGAGAGGAAAATATGAATTAATAAGAAACGGTTTAAAACCTTTGCACAGATAATTGCACGTTTAGTCATTAACTTGTTAGAAAACTAACATGCAACAGTTTATATGTCATGCACATGTCAAACACACACACATGCTCTCCAACTAATGACCAAGCTGAAAGAAATGCATTCATGGAGCAGGTGCAGACAGTTACTGAGAAAGAAAAACAAAAACTGCAGGAGTCTTTGCATCGTGTGTCGAAGTAAGTAATGAAAACACAGACAACAAACAAAAGCTGCCACTGCGATGCAAAGATCTGTGCATCCTACAGAGAGCAGGCAGAACCAGGCACACGGGTGAAACCAGACGCAGTCACAGCAGTTGCGGTCCGAGATTTTAAATCAGGAAGCCGAGCGGGGCTGATGTGCCAGGGCAGAGCACTCACTTTCCCAGGAAATCCCAGACCATGCCCCCTATCTGCTGAGGGGCGGCAGACACAGAAGGGAGTGGGTCAGGGGGGGCTCTGCCTCCAGAACGAGGGGTATGGCGAGGGGCAGTGGATGGGGGGCTTTTTAAAATTTAGTGCAAAAGGAAGGGCACAAGAGCGTTTCAAAGAAGATGAAGGACAGATTGAAGATTCAGAATCCAATTTGAGAAAGAATAAGGAGGGAATGAACAGAGGTCAAGGTTGACCAATGGTCGGGGTTAGAGAAGGGGACAAAAGACAGAAGGGATACAGGATGAAAAAAGTGGGTAAGGATGGCAAAAAAAGGACAAGAAAACTCAATTAATCACATTTGGTGAAAGACTTAGCAAGGAACTCAACTGAGTGGGCACTTTTCACTGACATCTAGCTTGTATCTGTGTTACATGGAGAGTATGTGACAGGAGAGAAGAAGAAGAAGTCGCAGCAGATCTGTGTTGGCCTCAGACAATTCAACCAAGGCTTAGGTCAGTTTAGCGATCCACTTCGTCAGCTGAACCAAAACTAAACAACAATTTCAGAGTCGAGTTTCTGGATTAAATGTCACATGAATACAAGAATGAAAGAAGCACATTTACAGAAATCAATTACTCTGTTCCAACATCATGCAGGGGGAAAATGTCCAGTTTTTCCAAAGAATGGCTTTGAGAGAGAAACAAACAAATCAGCTTGTGAGGAAAATCAACCCATTGATTGACACTTAATGCTGTCTGGTGACTCGTCAGTCAAAGCCTAAAAAACCTGTTTATTTCTGGACCAATAAATGCAGGCAGGTCATGGTATCATCTCTCTTTGGTGTGGAAGTTGTTAATGAGGAAAATGTCCAGGTGAACTGTTTCCAGGAGGATTTAAGGTTAAAGTATGGCTCTATTTATGGAAATGAACAGAGACACTAACCCTATAGATAGTAATGTTTAACACAGCGACTGTGAATGTGAAATTTAGGTTAAAATCGTTACGTCAGAACTTTACGAAATTAAAATCGGTCCCAAATGTGGTGCATCTCAAATTTAAGACAAAGCATTAAAATTCCTGGCAGGTGAAACATCAGTCACTGCTTATCTGGAGGACATTCAGACATTCAGGCAAGAGTCCATAGGCTTTATCAGACCTTCAAACAAACTCACTCCACACAGACTCCATCCAAGACAAAACAGCTATGCTTGAGCAAATAGACAAGTGGAAACAAGTAGTTTATAACTTGATGTCGAAACCTCATCCAGCATCAACAGAAACAAACTCGTCTGTGTCACGGAAACCAATGTGTTGCATTGAGAGCTGTAACCATAATGTAACCATAACTCAACCGAATTAGAATAACAAACAAGAGCATTGAGAAAGAACGGGTAACCAACAGCGACGAAGATATTAAAACACAAGCAGAAAAACAGAAACTGGAAAAGAAACCAAAGACTTTGTTTTCTTTACGTAAGCTGATATAAAACTAAAACCATTTTTGATGACATCTTGCTTTTCTTAGTATAAGGCATTTATTTAGAGGTACAGAAAAGAATATTTATATATATATATATTTTTTTTTACTAAATCCTGAATAAGTTTCCAGCATAAGTTTCACTCACCTTTCCAGCTCAGCAATCTTCTTGTCCTTGTCATTCTTCTCCGTCTCCACCTCTCTCAGGATGTCCAGAAGCCTCTCCACTTCCGACTGAGCCTTGCTTGCCTCGTCTTTATAATAGCTCACTTCCTTTTCCAGAAGCTTTACTCGATCCACGTACTCCGGGTTTCCTCGGGGGCCCGAGTGCTGCTGCTCCACCTCGTGAGCTTTCTACGTCCGTGTACCAAGGAAAGATGCACAGAGTCAGTTCACATTGACGAGCCAAAGAGAGCAGCTCACAATGTTTTTACTGTGCTCTAAAGTCTTGTGGTAGATCTGTCTCTGTCTCTCTGTCTCTGTGAATGCAATATAGTGAAGAGTAGAGTAAACATTGTGAACCAGCCCATCATTACTGGTGCTGGCTCATTAGCTTTAACAGAGCTATTATTTAGCTCAATTTAAATGTCTCTCTGAGTCTCACAGTCATCTGTCACTTGGTTAGTATGCAGAGTGCATTACAGTGTACATGTTTGTCCTACGTGTACAGAAAAAAAAAAAAAAAAAAAAAAAACTGAAAAAATTTATTAAATATTCAGATAAAAAACAAGATGATCACAAATAACCAAAACCGAGACTCAATTTTGGTCACGTTTGACAAATCTCATCACCACTTTGATTGAATTTTCAATTAAATTTACTGCAAAGGTACACATCACCCTTGGGGAAGCAAACAGACCCACGTATGGAGCAAAGTTTTACAGAGCCATCCGCCAAAACACAGCAGCGATCTCCACCCACGGCTCGAACAAACGCTACCAGCACCACACCGAGAGAAACGAGAAGCGCTGCAACAATAACGACATGCAACGTATCATGCAAACCCAACAGAGCTGAAACAGTGTTTGCATCTGTAAACTGACTGTGTGCAGAAAAAGAAGTTGGAGCAATTTATTGTTAATGTTTTTAGGATGTGGGGATAAAAAAAAAAAACATAATTATGTCATTGCTCATCTGTCAGAATCTTTAAGTAAATAGAGATTATGCAAAAGTATTTACTGTTAATGTTTAACCCCATTTTGTTTCATTATAATGACAAAGTTTATTTCATTTTTGTGTGATTTTATGTAATAAACCAACACAAAGTAGTGGAGAATTATGCTTTGTGTTGTTTGAGGCGTTTTAACAAGTTGTTCCTCCAGGATTGGTCTGTATTACCTCCACCCATCTTCTACTTTCCTCAGCTTCCTAGTCCCTTCGAAAGATAAACCCCGCAGCATGATGCTGCCACTACCATGCTGCAACGTTTGGGATGTTGTAGTTTTCCAGAAAGTTAAAGTCTTATGTGGGACCTATCAACCAGAAGTTTTAAAAATCCATCCAAAACACCTTTACAAAGTTTAACATTAGTAAAGAGTTGATGTGCAGGTGGATTAGAAGCAGACGGAAAATCTGAACGTAGCAAGAGAAAGCTGAGGTGATAGGTGTGTTTACACAAGCATTGTCAATGTTAAAACTGCATCGTAAACTTTGCTATCTTTATGCACACTGTAAAGGATCTGATTTGTCTTTGAATGCTCAGATTAATTGTGATCAATTTTTCAAAAACGTTCACAACCAGGGAAATTACAGCCACAGGTCTCACATTTGTTGTTGCTGAACCTATTTTCTAGGCACAGCATCACTAAAGACCAACTAAAAATGTGCTAAAACATTTTTAAAAAGTTTGCTGCGCCTCCTATGTAGCTTGTGGCAGGTTGCAAACTTATTAAGAATTACTTTTGAACAAGGTCATTTCTGCCACTCTTACATAAACACATTCTTCCCACCTGAGCTGTAAATCTCTGCAGCGCCTCCAGAGCTGATGCCATCGCAGTACAGCTGGCTTAACACTGAGATTAATTTACATGGGCTCTATTTAATGTAGGTGAACTCTGAAGGCATGTAGCTTGCACTACATTTTTGTTTATGGGTTATCGCAGGATGATGGTGTTGTACATAAAAACTAAAATGTATCAATTTGCCTCCACTTTGCAATTATTTTCTAGTTTATGTTGGTCAGTCACATAAAGTCACAACAAAATATTTTGTTGTTGTGGTTGCAATGTGACAAAAATGTAAAAGTTCAATGGTGTGGATAATTTCCTGATGCAGCGTGTGACACTTAAAGCTGCAGGAAGGCAGACAGTCGGAGAAAGAATTCATAAATCATAGCTTTTATAAATCCCTCTTAAAAACTTTAGAATAATGAACCTGTTTTTTTCATTGTTTTGCATATATGTAACACAAAGGATTAAACGTGTTTTTATCCCCTCTGACTTAAAGTTGCACATTTTAATGCTTGTCTGGATAATTTAAGCATCCGTTTTGACTTGAAAACTTTATAAGTACAAATATAATTCTGCTGAAGGCCAATGTTACTGGAATAATGAAATCTTAGAATATTAGCGTTACCTAAAACAATGCCTGAGTTTTAATAAAAACTAAAGGAATAAATCCTTAGAAATGTTATTGAGTAATGTGGGAATTGTGCTAATTTCAGCTGACAATAAATACAACAGAACAAAATTTGAAAAAATAACAACTTTGACTGTGTAACACCATTTTCACACATACAAACACACACACGCACACACACGCACACACACACAGACATTAATCACTGTAAGAGGACATTGCACAGGACTCTCTGTTCAGTCTGAAGCTCGTAATACCCGCACAGTGCAATGGGCAACATGCATGTCGATGGGGGAAAGCAGTGCCTGTGCTGGGACTCGCCATGATCACCATCTAGCATATTTCAAAGAACTTCTCAGTGTCCTCATGCTTTCAATGTGCGCCTCGCAGGCCTCAAGAGAGGGACTTACAGGATTGTTCATGTGACTGAATAGCTGCTCAGCTTGCTACATTGCCAACAGAGGGGGGTCGAGGAAGGGACATTAGAAAGGAGGGGTGGGAGGGTTCAGGGAGAGTTAGGTGTTAGGGCTTAGTTTGAGCCAGAGGAGATAACAGCAGGATCAGACATAATACACGTTTGATGGCAGAGTAACACAGTTTCAGCACTGAACGTGTCGTTAAAGGTTAACAGCAGTAAAACACTGATGACGACAGACGGACAGACGGTCTGTGGGTCATGGAGACAAAGAAGATGGAGGGACTCCTTGTTCTGCGAAGCATTGTGACAAATACAGCAGCTTGCAGCAGAGGAGAGAAAGTGACGGCAGCCAGGATCCTAAAAAAAACTGTGATTTATGTAACGCCGGATCAAGACTCTTGTTCAGAAAAGCTTTCAGTGACCTCTTCCTACTCCCAAAACAGAATGAGCAAATCAAACGACAGAGTTTTATAATGTTCAACAGCTTGTAAAACAACAAAATCAAAGTACATTTTCCTGGTTTATTTCAAGTTTGTTCATTTCTCCAAAAATAGAAAAAAAATAACTTTTTTCACACTTTCTCTAATTACATTCATTTTACAAAAAATTCAGGTCAGCTGCAAAAAAAAAAAAAAAAGCATCATCACCAGCCCATGTGGCACAGTAGGGATGACGTATTCGTCATAATGTGCAATGTTAGTTTTCCTATAAGATGTAAACGAAACTTCTTGATACTATCTTATAACAATGGTTTTCTTCTTGCCTGGTTTGTCTGTTTAGGTGAGGATACTGAACAGTTTTTTTATTAAGTGTTCAAACAAATCAGCACCAACAAATCAGCTTCATTTCCCTTAACTTTGGGAGATCAGCGATCAGTCAATACCGACATGTGGAACTGATCCTGTCCACCAATCCTATCTACATTTAGATTTTATTTCTAAAAATCATGTGTTGTTACTTAGCTTCACTATTATACACTACTTTGAGGTGATCTATCACACAAAGTAGAATAAAACACATTGAAGTTTGTGACAAAATTAAGGAGTGCATTTTTTGAAATGTTCATTTTATTTAGCTAACGGTATATATCTATTTGATTATGTTTAATCCTTCCGTGTTCTGGCGCTAGAGGACTTCACTGACCAGTTTGAAAGGAAAGACATGTGGCAAATATTCAGAGACCAGGAACTGAAGACTCCAGCTTCTGCACACGGTGCGTCCTCGCTGCCAACTGAGCCACCAAACACGCAAATCCTTTCTTTACAAGTCTTCAAAATAGGATGTGCCAGAGGATGGTGGAGCTTCAATTAGTGCATAATATATTTCTTCCAAAAATGAAGTATATGTTGCACCTCAGGAAACATATGACACATGAACAGGTACTTACTGGCTTCATTAATCAGATCAAAATGATCACCTGTAAAACATGTTGATGAGTGAGCTTTCACCAAGACAAGGACAAACACCTACCTTTTGCAACTGCGTCTCCAACTTACTACACTCCTCTTTTTTCTGCTCAATGGCGATTTCCAGGGACTTGAGCTTTGAGTCCTTCTTGAGGCCAGAGGATGCCAGGGATGATGCGTGCTCTTTGAGATCGATGAGACTAGACTGCAGGTAGACAATCAACACAGACGTCGAAAGCACGTTTAAATCCAGCAGCCTTGCCTTGTCAGCAGGTGTGAAAAGGCCACAGAATCAGAGGAGACAGCTGGTGAGAGAGACACTTAGCGGATGCACTGCAGAGGAGAGCTGGATGTTGTGCAGAGAAACACAGAGAGAGGCATGCGGATTCACCCCGACGCCCTCGCACAGACCATCTCACACCTACCTCCTTCTCTGTTAACTCTATCTGCAGGTTGTTGACCTTCTCCTTCAGCTCTTTGTTCTCCTTCTTATAGGAATCCACTTCTTCCAGACGTTCTCTGTCTTCTCTCTCTCTTTGGTCCTTTAATCGCTCAATAATTCTCTCCTAACAAAATGAAACAAAAACATAAATGCACACCAGTTAATGTGATTCTAAATCAGTAAGTGCAGCTTTCCAACCACTAAAGTTTGCAGTCGATGTTGCAACGATATAAAAAAAAAAAATCAAAATTATGTTTTGAAATTGCTCTGAAAAGACCACAAGATAATTACATCTTTGTTTTAAATTAAATGACTTAACAGTCCGTCGTATCTTGATGATAAATATGTCATTGCAAAATGATTGTGTCTTTAAAAGCAATCTAACACCTTTGACATGTTCCCAGGTGTTTTTTTTTTTTACTTTGGAACGACAAAGAAAATTAAAATGTGTTCAATGAAGGCCTGAAGCTTCACCATCAAAGTTCTTTTGTGCAAGGAAAATTTGGAATAATTATCCAACACAGTTGGAAGAGTTCACAAATTTAAGACACTTGATTCATCAGTAATTCACTGTACAACTCTGAAGTTTCTCTGATTTTACTTTTTATATGTATATGTTTGAGTTAAAATGAACATTGTTCTTTTATTCTGTGAACTACTGACAACATGTCTCTGAAATTCCAAGCTAAAATTTAGCATTTATTTACAGAAAATGAGAAATGGTCAAAATAATGGAAAAAAATAAATAAATAAAAAAATGCAGCGCTTTCAGAACTCAAATAATGCAAAGAAAACCAGTTAATATTCATTCAGAAATAACAATAAGGTTTTAGGAAGAGTTCAGAAATCAAGGTTTTCAGTGGGGTTCAGTGCAGTGGGCTCTTCATTTTTCCCAGAGCTGCAGCTCCTGAATGTAACCTCAAACCAGAACGTTTCATTCATAAGTTTCATGTTTCCCAATATTTGCATTTCTTGCTATAATTTCTGTGTTTACATTGTGCGATCGTACTGATGTTCATACTGATGTGCAAGACTGTAACACAAAGAGACGTAAAAAAAAAAAAAAAAAAAAAAAAAAACCAACAAATCAGATCTCGACGTTGCACCTTCTCTGAGAGCGCCTCCTCCAGGGTGGCCAGGGCAGTGTCTGTGTTACTGGAGTCGGTCTGCAGAGACTTGATCCTGTCCTTGAGGTTTCCCAGCTGCTTGTCTTTGTCTCTCAGCTGCTCCTGCAGGTTTTCAATCTGTTTCATTCAAAGAGAACAAAGCATAATAGCACAGTTGCACAAAGCATTATTTAAGGTTGAAGTAGCCATATGTAGTAAAAGAAAAGCAATAAAAAGAAGCCTGGGCTTTTACAATACAGTTTTTTTTGGTTTAAGGGTATATATAAGCATGCTCCAAAAAGGCACATTAATAAAACAGTACTAACAAGTATGCATTGGATTAATGCTTCTTATAATGCCTTTTATAACCCTAAAGGTTTGTGAAATTATGTCAAATTCAGCTGGGAATAAAACTGTTGTGGTCAGTGGGTTTTAATTTTGGCCTTTGCTTTCATATCTAGAGGGCTGGTTAGTTTATTTCCAGGTTATAAAAACTTTCTAGTTCCTTTTTTCTTCCCTTCAGTGTCAGTTTCAGTTGGGCCTCCATTCTCATACTGCCTCTTGATATGCAAAGAAAAGATATTTTCCAGTAAATGATGTTGGAAAAGAGAGAGTCTGTGAATGTGTTACTGCAACGTCTTTCCAAAAAGCAGGGACAGAGTTGTTTATCCTTTTTCTCTTGTGCCAACAAAGTTATCACTATGTTATGTCAGGTTATGTTAAACAATCCTGGCCACATCCAGGATGTGAGGAGACAAACCAGTTTGAATAAACAAAAAGCTTTCATTGTCTTGCTAATATAGACAAGGCAAGTTTATTCATATAATGTAGCTCCATTCATAAGTGAGGTTATCCAGAGTTCTTTGCAGGACAACAAAACAAAACAAAACAAAAAGAAAAAAAAAAGTTTTTTTCTTCAAACAGAGCGCGGTATGCCAGCACTGAAAAGCATTTTAAAATGCAGGTTTAATAGGCTAATTTAAATCCAAATGTATTTGCCAATATAACAATTCAATCAATAATCAGTGAACCAGCAAACAGTTCATTAGTCAGAGTCTTTGGCCATGACCTTTGAAAACAGGAAGCCAGATTTAAAAACTTGTCTAATATGAGGGATTTTGCTTGTGGCAGACAAAACCCTGGCTGCAGCATTTTGGATGAGCTGCAGCTGTCAGACCAGCCAAGATATTGTTTCTGTAATCTAATCTACTGAAAACGAAAGAATCGCTACGTTTTTCTGTCATGTTTTCACAGGAAACCAACGTTTTTTTTAACATTTTTTTTTTCAGATACTAGTTAAAACATTTGGGATGTTGTGGTGTCAAATCAAATTTCCTATTTTTTTATTTGATTTATTAAATTTCAGTTTAATTGACATATTTTTTTTTATTTTTAATCTGAATCTCTAAGATAGGAAACTGTAAACTAGGTAACAGGAGGAACTCAAACAGACGGGCACATCGGTGGCTGCGTTTGCCAAAGGAGGGTGAAACAAATGGTGCATGCGAATTTGATTCTTAAAACTCAAACAAAGACAGATATACTGTGTAAACAACACTGCCAAACACAATGCAGCTCGTTGTGATAACACAGCTAGCCCCATAATTTAAATGAAAAATTACAGGGAAATGTGTAAGATTCTTAAAGATCGTTGGTGATACACAAACAGTGAAAAATATTTCGAAATGAAGTGTTTTGCAAAAGCTGGGGGTAATTCACATAGGTCCAGAAAAAGAGAAACAAACAAAAAAAACATACAATTGCCCTACTGGCTTTACTTCATTTTCTGTTCCAATGTGTACAGAGGGATTTGCAAATGTAAAACAATGCCCTAAAATTGTATTATTGCTAAGGTTTTCTCTGCTTGCCTTGCAAATTTCAGCAAACATAAATCAAATGAATTATAGAGCAGAACAAAATCATTTTTATGCCGCCATTAGCAAAAAAAATGTTCCAGGGTAATGATGGAGTGGAAAGCACCACAAGTTTGACATTATGTAACAATAACTACTGGATATATTGTCAGATGTAGCAATGGCATTACATTAGCTCTGTATGCAATAGCAGTAAATATATGACATTTTTTCAACGTCAGTCACTCCAAAATCTGATACGTTTCAGTCAGTTCTCTTTTTATTTTATTTTCATCAGTTAAACAATTTTTTTATACACTTTTAAACCATCTTCATTATCTAACAACTTAAAAAATACCTTCTTAAAAGTGACAGTGTGATGTTCCTAAAGATTTAATGCCTCAATCTTGTTAGGGTTTTTTGCTGGTAATAAAAATGATTTCCTGTCTCTTCTTCACACGTTTCCACTTGTTATGGTAGAAAGCCATAATTAGACTGCCTAGGAGAAACCGGTCCTGATCAGTTTATCGAAAACAGTTCAGCAAAGAAGCAGAAGGAGGAGGCAGGTAGTGGGAGAAAAGTGTATCTAAAAGCCCGGCTTTGTGAACTCTCAGAACGTATAACAAGTTAACATTTTAGACAAATCTAGATAATAAAAAAGGCAATTAGTGATCACTTTGTCGTAATTAGATAGTCACATTTTAAAGGTAAGCAGTTGAAGTAAATGTCTTGTTTTTTTGGTTTTTTTTTTTTTTTCTTTTTTGTGGACCTCTCAGAAAAACTCCCACTCATCTTGGAGAGAGTAACCAATCTGCTTTGTGTTTTCATTAAGTGACTGCTTTAGTCCAGGAAGCAGTGATCTGACAAAACATCCCACTGCATCGCTGTTTGTTTGGATTTCAGATGACTCCTAGAGTGATACTACAAGTTACACCCACACGCTTCAGAGATTTCCATAGCAAAATAATACAACAGATTCAGCTATTTTTCCTCAACTTCAACTTTTAAACAGGGCGATATCTTTTCTTTGCTCCTCTCACCTTTTTCTGCAGGACATTAATCTTCCTTTCTTTAACCTCCAGCATGTCCTTCATGTCCCTGATCTCTCCAGCGAGAGTTCCCTTCTCCTCCGTCAGGTCCTGCAGCTGCTTAGTTTTCTTGTTCAGGAAGGACTCCTTTTCTTCCAGACGCAGACGTAGAGCATCAACCTGAAGAATGGCACACACTTAGAAAAAGTCACAGTGATTACTGTACTGTTTTTATCAAAACGTACTTCTCAGTGCCGTTAATATTTTAGAAGAACGTTCCAATTCATCCAGCTTTTAAGTGACACAGTACTTAAAAGAAGAGATTCTAGAAGAGATATTTCACCTTGAAGTCAGTTAATGCAGAAAACAACTCCGGGGTTATTTCTTTAAATCAAATGTGGAGGTTGTGGTGTTAGGAAAGACGCTCAAGTTAAACACTTGGTCTCAAAAATAATTTCCCAACAACCTCTTTCTAGCAAACCGTGATCCACTGCATGTTTCTGACGCCTTTCTATCAGGATCAGCGATAACGTCTCCAGCAAAGTGAGTTTCTATTTGTTGGATTAGACCAGCCTTCTCTCTCCGCATGCATCATTGAACCTTGGCCACATTGTTGCTTTCTTGGACAAATGTTGGCTGATGCTGACCGCTGCGGACCTGGAAGACACGAACACTGCAGATATGAGCTGCAGTTTGGAGATGCTGCCACCCAATCACTGCTTGGTTCTTGTTCAATTTGCTTAAATCCTTATGGTTACCAGTTTTTTCCTCTTCATGCATCGACAACGAGGAGAAACTGTTCCTGAAATATACCCAACCTGCTAACAGATGTCATGATGGAGAGATAACAAGGGCTCCTCCCTTCACCTGTTGGAATGTTTCGCCTGACTGGTGTATAATGAGTGTGAATTTAGTTATTTTTGCTCACACACATTTAGTGCAATGACAGGGCAGGTGAAAAAGCATTAATTTTAGCCCATAAATAATATTTGAGCACTAAATTAAATTTTCTTATCAACCCAGTGGTTCTGTTGGCACTTTGTGGAAGCATATCCGCTGCACAAAGTGAGTCCAGGTCTTGGTTTAACATTAATATTACTAATATTAATTATATTCACTGCATATTATTTGCTTTTCATTTATTTATTTTTTTTTAGTATTAAACTGAAAAATGCATCAGTTACAGCTATTTGTTTGTGAATTTAGAAACATAATTACAAAACATATGACCATATCAAATTTGAGGTACTTAAACAAATGTAAATACCTTTCACTTGTAAGATATTTACAAATGTAAGGTATTTACAGATAGTAAATAGTTACCTATTTATGGTTCAAGCTACCAAATCTTTCTTTTAACAGCCTCTTTAAATTATTTCATTTGTGATTCAGCTTCAGTCTCAGTTGGTCGCAGCAGATCGACGCTCCGACAGTCGTTATCTGAGCGTTCATCTGAAGGTTTCTTCCTGTCAAAATGGGGTTGTTCCTTCCCACTGTTGCCACATGCATGCTCAGTTTTGGGGAATAACTCCAAAGGCAATGGCTCAATGCAAAATGGGCTGAATTTCCTTAAATTATAAACTTTTTACCGATCAAATTGGAATATATATGCTTGCATATGGGGTTGGATTAAATAAGTGTTGTCTTCTTCTTACTACTTTTCAAACAGAAAAGTAGTAGTAAACAATTTATTTTGTTCTTGGTTAGGTATGCACATTTATCTTATTGATTTTTTTTTGTTCTCTTGTTTTTAGAAACCTGTTTGAAATAAATAAATAAAATCAAGAAAATAATAGATTGATTTCTGTATATTGGTGCATATAAATTGTATTTGCGTTTCTTGTAGAGTGCCTGGAGGCAAGATTTACTTGGAGTAGGAAAATAAACTAATTTCAATGTTTTTTGTGAGCTTGTAAAATGCTTGAGTCTATTTAGGGTAAACAGCTTTCTATCTGATGACTCAAGTTACTTGTTTGCAAAAAAAGGTTGTTCTAAAGCCTCAGCAGAAAAACACCATTTGTTCAAACTGCTTATTTGACTTTTCCTCATTGACATGCATCTTCACGACATGACAGCAGTCTTAATACAGACACCATTATTTAGCTTTCTTTTTTGTATAACATGTCCTGACACAGTACAAGGTGCAACGACCGTCACCTGCATGCAATGTTCATGTTTCATTTTAAAATTTCCCAAGGAGGAAATGGGAATGTTTGTGTTTTGTTTAGCTGGCAAACAAGTGAGGGATTTTTTATTTCTTTATTTTTTTTACCCTACCTCTGTTTGGAGGATGGCAGCACGTTGCTCTTTGGCAGTGAGAGACTCTTTGAGCACTTCGATATGCTGTTTGCAGTCCGAGTTCTGGTTGTTGAGGGTCTCTAGCTTTGTTTGCAGAGCCAGCAGCTCCGACTCTTTCTTTGACAGCTCCTGCTTCAGTTGGTCAATCTGTTCAACACACAATAAAAAAAAAAAAAAAACCTTTTAGCTTCCCGACTGATCCAAGACATCAGCAATATGACGTTTTTTTTTTGTTTGTTTGTTTTTTTTAGTTCATTTTTAACCAATGACCACATATGTGTAGGTCTGAGAAAAAAAAAACAACAACAAAAAAACTTCTGGTTGAGCAGTGAGCTATACATTGCAGTTTGACTACCATCTTCATCAACACAGTTTTCTCTCATTAAAAATGCATTTTGGGCTGAGTCCCCACCATTTGTCATACATTATACATTGTCCCTATTCATGATTGATGAAAAGAGGTTTAAAAATAGAGCAACAAAACTGTGGCTGCTCTGTGACTAGTTCTGTTTTATATGGAGAGCTCTGTGTAAACACAATCTGAAACCTCTAAACCAGCACTGTGGGCAGCACAGAGCTGGTCATTTAACTCCCTTCATCGTTTTATACCTGTATAGCTTAGAAAACATCGAAATGGGTCCTTCTGTTTAACTAACAAGTTGTCTTTAATAGAATTTATTATGCTTTACCTGTTATGTAAATGTGGTTTTAAGGCTTGAAAAATAGCAATCACCACCTGGAGGTTGATTGGAGTTACTTTGGTTTGATCAGGGGTCATATGTAATAAAAGTCAGCAATTTTGTAAATGCTTAATAACCAACATAGCTAAAAGAATACAGTGAAAAATACAATTTTCAGTGAATACTATACAATTGAATAACAGGGTTTGGGCAGTTCTGGGTTGTACGGTGGCCTTGCAGCAAGAAGGTCAAGAATTTAAATCAGAAATTGTTTTTTTGCCAGAAGTTTCCATGTTGTCCTTGTGCATGTATGGGCTCTCTTTGGGTACTCCACCCACTTCCTACAGTCCAAAGACAGGACATAAACCATGACATAAAAACAAAAATAATTAAAAGATAAAGCAAAGTAATAAAAGAAAAAAACGAAGGAAAAACATGACTGGTGGTTTAAGCGGTCTCTTTAAGTTACCTTAGGGGTGAGTGTGTGCACATTTGTTTGTCCTGTGTGTTTCTGTGTTCCCCTCTGATGAACTGGGTGAACCCCATTTCTCACCCAAAGACTGCTGGAAGATAAGCACTAACGGATGGATTTGAGCAATTTATGGCTAGCTTCATAACTGATGAAAAACACCAGAAAAAAAATAAGTTCATGCTCGATGATTTCATTATATTAGCACAATGTTATCTGTTCAGAGGTCTGAAGTGCAAGTAGAAAGGAATGTCACTGTAACTGTGTGGTAATGAAACGAGGACATGAACTGGCAGGAAGATAAATTGACTTGGAGCAACCACCGATTCCTGCAACTGCTTCTTATGCTGCACAACTGACATATAAATACTTGCAAGATTTGACAATATAGAGTGGGAATCGAAAGTGTACATACCATCTTATAATGTTGTGTCAAAACTTTTGAACAAAAACAAAAAAAGTTCAGATCACGATGGTGTCAACATCCTCTTTCACTCCAGGTGTGATTTTCTTTTGGTGAAATGTCTTTTTATTTTTTTTTTTTTTTCTGTGTGAAAAATATTTGGAATCATTGCAGAGCAGGTCTCGGTTTTCTTCATCATATCATAACACATTTTCTCAAAACTTCAACAAAGTGTTAGTTTAAGGCTGTGCACATTTTTGCTGTCATTGTAATTCTTCTGTTTCTCACATGTTTCCTCCTCAATTAAATCATGCAGAATGAACATGTCTTATCTTTAGAAAAAGTTTAGAAAACATGAAGGATTTCTTTGTAAACGTCATAGAAATCTTGCATTGTGACTGGGATGTGTGCAGTTTTAAAGAGACCCTGTACTAATTTATGCATGTGTTTCGAAGTTAGGTGACAGTCATAATCAGCTCTTTAGGGGGTTTTCACACCTTTTGTTTGTTTCCTCATGAATTTGTTGTGGTCGGTTATTGATTTCAATTGTGCAAATTAAAAGAACAAAATGACATGTACAAAAGTTTCCATCATAAAAAGGAAAGAACAATAGATAAGCAAAGTTTGTGAGCAAATAAGGACCATCATCTCAGCTGAAAAAACACAGAGAGCAATCCTGTTTCTGAAGCCGCATGCACATGGCCTCTACCTTAGTCTTCATAAACTTGGAGTGATTCTTGTAGACCTCCATCTGTTTGATTTCCTCCTCTCGATCCTCTGTGTTTAGTAAGCTGTTCGCCTTCAGCATCTGGATCTCATCCTCCAGATCTCGAATGTTGCGCTCCAGAGAGGCAATTTTGGTATCCTGCACACAAACACGCGAAAGAGACACACCTCAACACCGAGACCAGCATTCCCACTAGCCGAGTGCTGCAAAAACAATCAGAACTACGGACAGGAGTCCACGAATAAATGCAAAGACTGAAAGCGACCGCAACGATTTGGACCGACAGAGAGACAAAAGAGAGGTAAAAAGGGGAGATGCAGAGAGATAAGGAGTGGATGGAAGAAGCTCTCTGGTTTGGCTCAGAACAACTGCAGTATCTGTCGGGGAAATCAAAAGCTTTCTACCCAGCTCTTTGCAGCGGCTCAAAGGATTAATCACCATTGGGAAATATTGAGTGCACATCCAGCACAGACTGATCCTTCAGGAACAGAGAGAGACGTGCAAAAAATAAAAAGGAAAAAGTAACAAGCTCTAGCTTCTGCTGTGGAGGCTTGCAGATAAATGCAGAACCAAGTCTCTGGACTGCGACTGAGAGACCAGCTTTAGCTTCACGGCTTTTTAAATAAATAATACTACGTCTTTAAGATTAGCCATGGTTCATCTCCCTCTCCAGCAGAGCATAGAGCAACCTTGCTTCTTCCTGCCTTTCTCTCTCTCTTTTTAATATCGTCCTTCCTTCCTCTTTGTGAACTTGTGAACTTATAGCCATTAGCAGGGTCAGCCACAGCCTGCTGAACAACATGGGTGATGAGTTGTAATGAGAAATGAATGATTGGGAGTTTAACGTCAATGCATGGAGCGCCGCTCGTGTGCATGCACTTCGCCCAGCTGCTGCATCTCACCTTACAAGAAGAACATCAATGAAGTGACAATTCTGCAACAGACATGAGGCGCCGTACCTTCAGAGAAGAGTGATTTTATCCCACGGACCTGGTCAGTGAATTGTGCTCATTATCTGTCCCTGGATCTGTACATCCCTCTGTCTCTCCATATCCCTGCATACTGGCCTCTCACTGTCATAAACAACCACACCTGTTTCCATGGCAGCAGCAGGCAGGCTATATACGGTGCACTGTCTCTGGTGAGTGAGGAGGAAGAGAAGGCGGGAGGGACGGAGACGAGGGGGAGGGAGGGAAGGAGGTAGGATTATTCGCGCTTCCATCAGCATCAACAGAGAAGGGGAGAGAGGAGAGAAGCAGGGTCTTCCTCCACAGCAAAAGGAGAAGGAGGAGGGGGCGGGACTTCCCTCGCCCTGTATGATAATCAACAGGGTACAGAGCGCCCTGAAGTCACATGACCAGGCTGTGGGAGGCTGGGCCGGTGCAGCCAAGCGAGAGGGGCTGTGTCAGCTCAGCGATGATGTCATGATTTATTTTGAGGAAGTGATGTCAGGCCTCTGCAGTGAGGCTGGGGGTGTCTACAGCAGCTCAGTAGCTGGATGTTCCTGATATTCTCCACTGTCACAGTGATACTGAGTGCCCTTTTTTATTTGCTATAGTTTATCCCTTTCTCCATCTGTGTTTAGTAGTCTGAGACAGATTAGCGAAATGGCATGAACATGAGCTTAAATATAGGATTTGTTGTGGGTAGACTCCAGAAACTCTCATATTTCCCAATATTGAATAACATGTTTAGAGTCATACCTATAATTAGTTTAAAAGCTTTACTACAGTGTCTTGAACTTTGTCATATTTTGTTTTGTTACAAACAAAAAGTTCAATTTCTTTTTAATTAGATTTTATTTGATTGACCGAAACAACGTGGTACATAACTGGAAAGAGAAAGGAAAGTGATCCATAGTTTCAAAATGTTTTGAAAATAATAATCTAAAGGTGTGGCACACCTTTGCATTCAGCTCTCCTGAGTCAGTATTTCCACATCAGTCTTCTTGCTGCAATTAAGACTTTGCAAATCTACAGACTGAAGCATTTGCTCCTTCTGGTTGTGTATGCCAGATTGGATGGAATGCACTGGTGAACATGAGTTTTCAAATCTTGCCACAGGTTGTCATTTTGACTAAAGTCAGGATCTTGTGTTCAGCACATTGTGACTGTGTTGAACGTATGTTTTTTAGGTCTTTATTTTCTGAATATGTTTCTCTTTGCCACTCTGAAGCTCTTCTGCCAAATATGACTTCTAGATAAGGAGCAGTCAGGTCTCACAACAGCCTGTTGACATGCCAGCTCTCACAGCCTCTCATAGCTTTTTTTTTCTTTTTTCTTTTTTTTTTTTTTTTGCTTGTCCTGTCTTGTCCTTGGGTAAAGAGACATGTCACTCTGACAGAGTTTGAACTCGAGTGCAGATTCTCCATGTTCAGTTTTTGCTCTGCTTTTGAACAAGATGTTTGATTTTCACTTGGAGAATCTTATTTTTTCATCACAACCTAAACCATCTCCTTGTAGCTCTGCTAGGATGGCCATTGCTTTCCTATGCTATTCTACTTGATTCAAAACTCACTTCACTTCACAGTCTGGGCTTTCTCCCATTCACTTGGATTTCAACTGGACCAATGAGAGCACTGAAGGAGAAGTTATTGTTGATGTCGGTTTTCTGCTCCATTTTAATCTGCCTGTAGAGTTAATAATGGCAGCGGAGGAAGTGAACGAGGACATTCAGTCGACGTTGGTCATTCTTCCAAACACTGAATGATCATTAACAGCCACCCGCTTGGCACTTCTCTCTTTAAAGTGGAGGATGGTTGCTTACAGTGCAGTTAATTTCCGGTAAACTGCATAGCATCAGACTGCCACATTATATACATCACGGACAAGTGTTAGGGACTGGGTAAAATTGAAAACTTTAACAGAGTTCACACCTCCAGGAAGCAATCATCGTTTCTGAGTAGCTAAGAGCCCAGACCCTCTGTGCAAAGCAAAGAGTAGATGTTGTTGTTTTCACCAGGTTATAACTCTGCCCTTGTGTCAACTTTTTTGTAGCCTTTGTTATTAAGAAAACCTTTCCCATAACATAATGCTGCCACCACTGTGCTTCACTGTCTAAAGTGTGTTCAGGGCCATGTGCAGCATGACATTAAATGGAACTAATTTATGCTGTCTTTCAACTATAACCTTCATCTTGTCACTGTTTCGTGAAGGCAAGACCCAGCAAGTGAACAACTAAAATTTGCCCATTTGGTAATTTTTTCCCTAATAGGCAAAATTCCTTGGTCTTTATCATGATATTTGGTCATCAATGTCCTTTACTAACCCTCTGCTTTTACAAAAGAGCTGTACTTTACATAGGTGGACTCCATTCATGAAGTGGACAACTTCTGCAGGCAAGTGGTAGTCGACTTTTATTTGTAAAAACTTTTGACAATCAATTGCCCTTTTTGCTTTACTTCACAAATTACCCTGTGTTGATCTGTCACAATAAAATACTTTTTCTGACCGTAAGCTTACAAAAAGTGAAATAGTTCACTAGATATCACTAGCTTTGCAAGCTCTTTAATTCCAGTGATTCACTGAGTCCTTATAGAGCAAAATTACTTCCAAACTGTTCATTCCTGATCTTTAGTTTCAGATATGCACAATCAGAAAGCATGCGAAAGAAACTCTATCCATCCTCAAAAAAAAAATCTTGATGGAAAATGTTATATAAATCTCCAGAGCTCTTGCAGAATCAAAGTCTGCTCTGTCTTTGCAGTCAGCGATGTGAGGAGTTGATTGTAAAAGAATCACGTTGGCTGTCACAAACCTTTTCTTGTTTCAATTTGACACAAACGTCTTCAACAAACCAAATGTTGACTCCCGTTCAAGTTAGCACAAAAGCTCTGAAAGCTGATACAGTACCGTTCCGTGTGTGAGAACAAGAGAGAGGCATGTGATGCCAGGCTGGTGATTGACTCAGCTGCAGCAAATTGCAGTGACAACAATAGATTCAGCAGAACACACATCAGCAAAAGCCTCTGTGGGAAACGCAATGAAAGACTTGAGAATGGGAGCGTATGAACACACAACGTTTGCTTCCACACAAATGCGGAGCTGCTGTGTGTAGTCAAGTTCTTACTTTCATCTCTATGATGGTCTGCAAGGCCTTGGTTTTGCTTGGATCCTGATGAAGCTGATTTCTTCTGTGCAGTTCCTTTTGGGAAAGAGAAATAATTTTTAACTTTTTCTACACAAGAGCAAAGGATAAACAATAATAATACAATTCAAACGATATGCGTCTGTTCTGTTCACGGTGCCACATTTACAAAAGTGCCCCACAGTTTTTGTACATGTTACATAATCAATGCATCACAAGGAGCAGACAGGAGTGCACTGAATTTATGATGCTCAGCACTGCCATCTAGTGACAAAAAGACGCATACTAAATTTCAAATACTGTTTGTTTCATTGTACCTCTCGCAGATGGATGTTTTCCTTCTCCTTCTGGTCCAGAATTACTTCCAGGTGTCCGAGTTGGGCCTCGGCCTCAGCAATGCGCCTGGCTCTCTCCTGCTCTTCCTCTTCGGTCGCCCTGCCCGGCCCGGGAGGCAGCCCTTTACTCTGCAGCATCTCCAGCAGCTTCTTAATGGACTCGTCCCTGGCACCGAGTGTTTGTTTCTGCGTCTCTATTCTTAGCTCCATCTCCTCCAGGGTTTTTCTAAGCAGGAAGAGCTCCTTGGCCTGCCTGTCGTGCTCGGCTTGCAGCCGGCGGAAGTTCTCCTCTGTCAGCTCGATGGTGGTGAAATGCTCCGAGCCAGATCGGTTTCCGCTCTCCTGCTGAAGCAGGTGGTTGAGGTCTCGCTGTGTGCGTAGTTCGTCCTGCAGAGCCTGGATGGTCATTTGGAGATGCTGCAGGAGACGTGGACAGACACGGACGTGTACACACACAAAGACCCAACGCATTTAGGAATAAAACAGAATCCAATTTAATTTATTTTAGTCAAAACTAACATCAGTGGCAAAATGTGCAGTACTGGGAAGGCCTAACCCATGACACACCAGCACTTACATTACAGCACCTTTAAAAACTGATTTCAAAGAATTAGCACCGTTTGACACAACAATTAATTATTTATATGAATGCCAGGACCAGGGAGAATTTCTTGTTTTACCACTAGACACTAAGGGACAGACATGATGTGACTATAACCTCTAAAAGCAGCTCTCAGTTCTCAGTTCAAAAACATTCTGGATATTTACATGTCTGTCTAGTCGAGATATGGAAGAACTAAGAACTAAATATAAACTCCCATAAGTTACAACGTCTTGAAATTGTCTTAGATGTTAATTTTAGTGAAAATGTCTCTTCAGGACTAAAGATCACAAAAATACCTAAACACAGACAACAAATTAAAGAAATGGATGAATATAATAAGAGCAAATGCAGGGCTAAAATTCATCCATTAATTTTCAGTCATGATTTTAGTAGTTTGTATTTAAATGACACAAAGAAAACAGTATTGGTGCTTCAGGAACAATCAACCAACTAGTAAAACATGTAGAATAGCATTAACGTTCAGGGAAAGAGGTTAGTTTTCTTTTGATAAAAACTTTGATCAACAATGATCAGTTAATACAATAATTACAGTGTAAGAACTCTCCTAAAGTGATTAAGATAGTCTTTTAATAAGCAGTAAGACCACAATCTACAGAAAAAAAATAAAAATATTTGTTGAATTTAAATGAGCCAATAACTGGTAAAATGAGTGCATGATATATACTCACTGCTAATTATTAAATACACCTTGCTACTAGATGTGGCTTATTTCTTTGAGGCAAGATAAACTTTCTTCAAGCAGTTTGGCTCACATTGACGTCATATTGTCATGCAGTTGTTGCAGTTTTGTCAGCTGCATGTTCATGATGTGAATCTCATATTCATCACATCCCAGTGGTTCTGTCTTGGACAGAGATCTGGTGATTGTGGAGGTCGTTGAGGTACAGTGACCTTACTGTCCTTTTCGTTTCATGGTGCAGTGTCCAGCTAGAAGTAGTCATAGAAAATAGGAACTGGGAATTGAAGCCTCAGTTTCTTGCCTTTGACTGGCAGGAGTGAAAATCCAGAGTGGTTCTGTGCAACACTGAGGCTTCTCTATACACAATTTACCACTTTGTCACCACTGCCAACCCTGACAGATTTACTTTTATAAACCTGCATGTACTTACAGGCAATAAGCGATTATCTTGTTATTAAACTTAAGTGATTAAATAGCCATTGGGTTAATTAATGGATTAACCAGATTAAACCAGTTCCCCTAAGAGTGAGAGCTGAAGAATATGTTTTATATTGTCTGCCTGAAAAATCAAAACACGTTCTTTATTCAGAAGACGTTCTTTTGTTTTTTGTCTATTTGGAAGTAGGGCTGGACAATAAATCAATAACAATATATATTGTGGTAGACACATGATTCATATCAATAGGTAATATGTCGGATAGAATATTCAATCATTTCTATGAACTCCAATCCAGAACCACACGGCATTCTGGGGGAAGTAGGTAGAGGAAGTGTTTAGTCTCTCAACCTCTCACGGTTGGTGGTATCAACTAATTCACTCACTATCCGGTTACCTAGCAACTCACTCACTCTTTCATTACCTAGCAACAAGCTGTAGAGTAACTTACCAGCAGTTTAAGGTTTTGCCACCATGCCTCATAAGTGCTTAAAAATAAACAACAACAGCGTGGAATGAAAGGATAAAAAGAGGAAAACAAATCGAGGGGAAATTGTGGATAAAAGAGGAAAAGTCACACCACCAGTTTGGTAATACTTCAGATATTTAGAACAAAAAACTAATTGATAATTATCAATATCGACTGATATATCATGATACGATTTTCAGCCATGTCGTCCAGCCCTATTTTGAAGGGTGGAAAAATAAGTGTGAAATGTTCACCAGTGACTTTGTTAAAACACTTATTTCCTCATGTGGATTTTGTACTCCACTGAACTAATATGGATTGTAACTTTGACACTTCATGTTTTTACCATTTTTATGACATTTTTCACCCATGTGTATATCATTGTCTGTAAGGATATTTGTACCACGTTTCTGACAAAAGGTTTAGTTTTGCTAGATGTATAACTTTCCTCCAGTAAAGTAGAAGAGAAACAAAGATTCACCCATGTACTGAAAATGGTCCGGTTAGGTCCTTAGAGAACAGAAACAGCTCTTTCTCCTGAAGTCATTCACCTTCCCAGGCTACGAATGTATGGTTTGAATTCTTATAGTGGAGCAGTGACATGACTTTCTGTTCTCCAGGTCTTTGTGTTGAAACATCAGGATTCAAGGGGCAGCAGAAATGAGGGACTGAAGGGATATCATTCAGTTCTCCAAGGAGGTTAAAGGGTTAGGAGAAAAAGGGATTGTCAGGTATCTGGAAAAAAAAAATACACGGCACACGAAAGGTGACTCTATGTTGTGCACACGACACGGTGCAAACATAGGGACAAACCTTGGTTCTCCTGGCATCCAGCAGCTGCAGAGCATGAACAGAATGAACAGAAAAACAGATGTGTGGTGAAAACAGAGCGTCAGAGCTTGATGCAACAGAAACGGATGATCAACACAAAGCAGAAAAATCCTAAATGAGAGCTGCTGGTTTATCACTCTTGCAGTCAGTAAAGCAAATTTACAACAAAACTTTTTTGATAGCAAACTTTTCATCTTGTTATAAGAAAAAGAACAGTTTTTAAACTATTAGCCCGATTGGTTTCGAGACAGCCAGATTAATAGTTTTAAGAGTTGAACGTAGACATTTTTTTCTTTATAACAAATAAAAATATCTGCCAGAAAATAGATTTTTCATGTACAAACCAATTTTTACTTAGACTGGATTACCTTTCTGGAAAGACATTTTAAAAATGGGTTGAAGTGGGTTTAGTATTTTTCCAATAAACTGTTAAAATATATTTACTAATCATAATATTTTAATGAGAAGCGTTAACAGTCAAGTTAAAAGTAAAAGGAACAACTGAGAACTTTTTTTGCTGTACGATTCTGTAAACATTAACCGGAAATTAAACTCTAACACAATTCACATTTACTCTACAGATTTACAGTATGCAAAAAGTTAACATTATTCTTTTAATGACTAACTTTAGAAGTACTTGGTCCTATAAGTAAACAACCAACAGGAAAATAAGCTGGAGGAAAATAAACACCAGTAAAATTCTGACCTAAAGACACAAGATTATCGTTTGACAACGTTTTCCATGTGCTTGTTTGACCACCAGGGGGCAGTGTTTGCATTTCCAGTAAAAGCTGCTGAATTTTCTGCTGACTGCTGCCATGACAGGTTGTTTCAGTCAGACACCCCCTCTCTGAGTCATTGGCCTTCGGTACAGCAGCAGAAATTATGCAGTACGAAGATGCTAAAGTCTAATTTTAACACTGAGCATATTCTGCTCTTACTCTCATCTCAAAGTAAACCATGAGAGTGGAAAGTTGAAAAAATATATAGATTTTATGAGTCCCAAACATGAATTTACAGAAAATATTTTGCAGGTGCATAAAAATACAAGAATATATATGTTTTTTTGTTTTTTTTTTTACATCAAGCAAATGATGCTACTGTAGTTAGATTTGGAGTAAAGCGTGCCCACACTGAGAAGGAACCCCAAATGTTTTCTTCTTTTTTCAGATCTATCCTTCTCGTTTCGGATCCTCCCTCCTCACCGATCAATAAACTCCTGCCTGCCTTGGAAACCAAAATGCAGGAAACAATCCAGTGACTGCATCTGCGTAATTGAACTGAGACTTAAAATCACTATGCAGCCTTCCGCCCGGTTCCTCCACGTCAGCCACAGCTGAGGTGCAGCTGTTTGCCTGAACTGGTCATGACTCAGCTGATACTGGTGCTGTGGTCACGGGGTTGGGGGGTGGGGGGTTCTTTCTGTTCCTGAAAACCTTGACGGTCAAAACCCAGAGAGTTTCTCAGCACTAGAAAGAGACGCTGAGCTGCTGTGACTCCTTATCGTAATGACACCTGGGCCAGCCGGGGGTAACTGGCTGTCATAAATCTTGTGGTGCAGAAGCAGAGAATCCTTTTGAGGGCAACATCACACACTGACTCAGGTTCTGCCATGTGAATGCCTTAACAAAGCGTTGTGGTGATTTAGCAGAGGGGTTACTCTGTCTGACTTGTAGGGGGCAGTTTTACCTGTGACAGTGTTGAGCGTCTGAGTTCCCCCAAGTCAATTGCCACTGAAGATTGAGGAGGGAAAAAAACATCTAAGTTAAAAACAGAAAGAATGAACGGGCACCGAAATATTTAAATTATATATTGAAGAACAGGGCAGCATTTGACACCAGTTTTGGTTGCTTTGGTGTTTCTCATACCGTCTTTACAGTGAAACATGGTGGTGGTTGCATAATACTGTGGGGTGCTATAATCAACATGTACCATTGTAGAGTTTATGACAAGATAGATGGGGCTAAAAAAAAAAAAGTAAATAAAAGAAACAACTGTGAAAATAGGCGAAGCTGCGAATTCTGAAGCACCGAAAGTCAGACGTCCATTTAAAATTCTTTTCTTATTTTGCATTTATCATAATTTTGGCCATTTCTGCTTTTATTCACAGATAAAGTCACAACCAGATCCTCGCTAAAACTAAAGAAAAAGTTAAATTTTCTTTAACAAATATAAGCTGTTAGATGTTACAGAACATCCCATCTACTTACTTCAGCCATAATTTAAATGCTTCACACAAACAGGCCATTGTTACAAACACGCCTAATAAAAGGCTGGCTGCCACACTACGCGCCTTAAAATATTATTTTGGCCCCTTAAGCAATTAGATGATGACCCCTGCTCCAGAATGAGCCATTTGGTGACACAGGAACCAGCTGCTCTGCATGTAATGCTCTATATACATGGGAGGTTGTGTTTTTTGTGAGAATAAATGAGCAACTCCAAAGCTCTTGAGCTGCAGCAGCCTACTGTTCACACCGTTCCTAATCTCTGTGTAGTGTGTCGTGATAGCTGACAATACACAATTACACCCACACCACACAAGCAAATGCTGCGTTTCATCACCTCCCCTCACTTAGCACAAAGTTACAAGAGGGGCGCCTGCAGAAATCTGACAGTCTGAGACGGTAAAAAAAAAATGCCACTCTGTGCACAGAAGTAAGCCATCTGTCAAGACTTCTTTTTTATTTTTTTGTTTTAATCGAATCTCATTCAGATGCTTGAACTAGAGGAAGCTGTTTATCGTGTGATTAAAGCAGCTTTAGCAGCACTTGATAGGGGTTGCTTTGTGGGTTAGCATGAGGCCAGATGGCTCACACAACCGCTTGGCAGTCACAGGGGCCATGCTGGAACCAGTTTGTATTCGATACCACCCACACAGTTCGCCAGGGTTCTGCTTGTCATGAAAAACCACGCCAAGAGAAGACTGTCATAACGTGAAAGAATCAATAGAGAACTCTGTGATTCTACAAAGGTATTGATCCTGATGCGACTCCCTGTGTCCTCCCATGCTGCGTCTCGACTGGTGGCATCTCCAAAACTCTGGGTTCACAGTCCCGTTATAGGCGGCTGTTCAAGTGGCGACATGTAGACACTGGCTGATGAAACCAGGTTGACCACAGATGACCAATGTGAGTGCTGGTGGCACATAGTAGTCCTACTTCTCTTTACTTATGTTGTGGGTACAGATAAGCTGTAGCTCCATGTTATGTCTAGTGGCCAGGTTTCCTTTGCACCATCCTTGTTCCCCCAACACGTGTGTAGCTGCGTCCCCGTCTTTGTTTGTGGCAACCTGCCTGGGGGCTTTTGTGGGGCGAGATCATCAACTCAACAGTTTTGGTACTCTTGGCAGCCAGATATTTGAAGTGCTTGACTAACAGTGGTCCCTTCAACAGATTCACAGCCTTAATCTCTGCAGTTTGTCCTGAATTACCATGGGCCTCTTACTGTTTGGCCCTCTTGCCAACCTGTCAGGAAATGTGAACTGCCATGTTTTGGAAGAATTATACTAATGCCATATGCATTTTTTGTTTGCTTGTTTGTTTTTTTATTACATGTTCACTGGATCCAAATTATATTATTTGGGGGTAAAACAGTAAGTAATTAATGAAAACAACTGCAATGCTCTTCAGCTTATGAGTAGCAAGACATCATATAATGTTTTCTTCCACTTCACCATTACTCACAGTTTTGTTTTTAACTATTGCATACAATCTCAATACAGTACATGAAGGTTTCAGCTGTTAGGTGACAAATGTGAACTGTTTTTGTTCTAGGGGCTGTGAGAGACACCAAAAGCTTCGGGTTGTTACGTGACAAAGCGTCACCATGTGACTGCTGTAGCTTAGAAGTCAAGTTAAGTCAACATCCTGCACTGATGTGCAGTACCTGGTTTGCACAGCTGAATTATAAAACATGCGTGTAAACAAACAATTGTGAGTTCACCTCTCACACATGAGCAGTACGCCGCTCTGTTTGATTACAGGGCTGCACAATCCACCAGGGGAATTACCTCTAATTAAATTTTCAGCCGTCACACACCGTGTGTTATATAACACTCAATCGGACACAAGCGTAGACGCGTGTTCGTGTGGACGATGTTACGTTAAGTCTATGTTCCAAATATAGAAAATCCAGAATTTCTGTGTGGGAAACAGCATGATTTACTTTAAGTCTTGCATGCATGTGCAGAAGGCGCAAAGCGGGATCTATTTTTGTGGGAACCGTTGATCAGGGCTGACTGGGCAGCTGAGCAGCGGTGGTCATGACTCAGTCAGATATGGTATGCTCTAGCTCACACGCTCGCCTCCAGCAGCTCTCGTACAGCTTCGGCAGGACAACAAAAATTCTGTTCAATTCCATGAAAACAAAAATCAGTTGCCCTTCCCAATAAAAATATACCACACAAAATGATCTCACGCTAATCATCACCGCAAGTCATCACCTCCACTGTTTATGATTGAGGCTCTGCAGGCCGTGGGTGGTATTTAAACATAAAAAAATAATAATAAAAATAAAAAAAAAACTTCCATGCTTCAGAAAGTGAATGTTATATCAGGAGATTTTGCAAACAGAGGCCCGTACACCCTGATGCTGATTATCTCATGATAAATGATGCATGGTATTTGCTGAAACTAACAGGGGCCTAAGGCGCCTGATGCAATTGTAAAAAGTGGTGCTAGAAGACAGATGCAATGACTGGGTTGAAATTTCTCCATTATTAATGAGGCAATTTGCTCCTCAGTCAGCCTCTCAGTAAGCCCAGTGGGTGTGACCAAACCAGCCCACCGTAAATATGCACTTATGTAAGCACGCCTCAGAGCCCAGAAATCAAGTTAGAATAGACCAATTATAGCAACAAGGCACATCTGCCTTTTATTAGCTGCCACACTGCATTAATGAATCCTACCAGGAGGAATATAAATATCACTCGACATAAGGGGAGAGCAAGCACCGAGTCCTCTCTTTGATTCAAGGATGATGCCATGGAAACCCGTCAGCGAACAGCTTTCGTAATCTGCAGGACACATTCAGCTCCTCAACTCTATGAGTTCCAACTAAAAATATCACAATGAGGATTTAACGACTCTTTATAAAGAAATGTGAAAAGCTGAGTTGCTTTGGTTCCGTCGGTGACACGGATGATTCAGCTTTAACACAGACTCAGATTTTTGCAAATCATAATGATGTAAAATATTTCTGGTATTGCATAATTGGCTGATAGTTAGACTAAAGCGCCTTGCAAAAGTATTCATACCCAAAAAGACTAACACAAAGCAGCACAAATTTGGAATGAGGAGGAAAAATTATTTAAAAAATTTAAAAAAAAATCTCCATATGTTTATAATTCACCAATTTTTATTGCATTTTCATAAACAGATATGGATGGATTGATACTGAGATTAGATTGATTAAAAAATGCACATCACACATTTTATATATTCATCTATATAAAACGCTGAATTGTTTTCCTTCCACTTCACAATTATCCATTGCTTTGTGTTGTTGCATCACATAAAATCTCCTCAAAATGCACAAGAAGTACAAAAATACTATTAGGTTAATGAAATGTTGAAATGTTCAAAGGGAACGAATACTTTAGCAATATGCAGAGACAAAACCCCGTCTTTCATAAGAAGATCAACAAGTCCTGTGTGGAAAAACCCACTGATGGTACTACCTTGCAGGGTAGAGTAATGACTAATCGTGTCTCTTCAGTGTATGAAAACAGAGCTGGAGCAGACACAATGCCCTGCACAAAGAGCGAGTCCAAACTCAGCCTTTAAACTGCTCAAAGCATTGCTCAGTATGCTGCATCATGAACACAGCGTTTTGTTTTGTTTTTTGAAAATGCATTCATACTGAAAAGCTCAGTCTATATACACAATCTACACAATATCAGAGTGTCATACATTTCCACTTGCAGCTGACAGAACCCACTAAGCCAGAGGCTGTGCGTTCGCTCGCACCAACAGCTAGCCAACTATTAATAATCCTCCAGGTGAGGCCTGACATTAAAGAAAGTGATCTCCAGCTGTTTTTTTTTTTCAATCATTTAAAATAGACAGAAAGATGACAAATCTTTTGTAGAAACAACTATATGAACCAAAGTAAACACTGTGAGATGATGCAGGTCAGAGCATATGAAGAGAAGGCAAAGGAAGACAGACGGGGAGTGTTTAAGTGTCCTTGACATTTGTCTCTGGGCCCTGTGCCTACTCCTGTCAGTAAGTGATTTAACTGGGCCATGACTACACCCCCACACTGAGGTAAGCAGAAAAAAAAAACCTTTTGACATCTTTTCCCCTGGGGCCAATCTGCTGAACCTGTGAAAATAAACCAAAATTAAGCGATATCAGGACCAGACGGCATTCAATACACCTGTCGGGAGTGTCATCGTACTTTTTAACTGAGCCACAAATAACTGAACGTTCAGATTTCTGCTCTACTCCTTTTTAGTTGAAGTGCTTGTATTTTCTGAGAGGCTGAAGTCTTATCGATTCTTCACTGGATGAAGAGATATTTATGTCAATAAAAGAACATCTTTCCAGAAAGGTTTTACAAATCTGTTAAAAAAAAAAAAAAAAAACAGAACTGACTGCTTTAATTTTCTACAGCATACATAAGAGAGGATGGCTGTGATTATTTGCAAAAGACAGCATGGTGAAAGCAGAGATCAAAGCAGAGCAAAATGGGCAGACAAATAGGCAGCGAGTGAAATTCACTGCAGCAATAAGTGGATTATGACAGCTCAGAGAGGAGTGGTCTCACCTGATTCTCCTCGTGAGTGACTCTCATCTGCTCTTTCAGAATGGACGTGCGAGCCGCCTCCTCTTTCCTCATGATCCTCTCCTTCTTCAGCTCTGGGCTCCAGAAGCTCTTGATGCTGTTGGTGGAAGATCCCAACTTACTCTCCTTCAGGTCAAGCTCTCGCCGCAGCATCTCATTCTCCCTCTGCATCTCCCTGAGCTGGGCCTGCATCTCCAGCAGCTCGCCACCACTGCCCCGCACGGCCTGCCTGAGCAGAGCCGAGGGCACCCCCTGGTGGTGGTGGGCGTGCAGCATGGAGAGGGAGCCCAGGTCACTGTAAGACAGAAGGTCAGCATGAGGCAGCCCCACTGAAGCAATATTGGGGCTGCTGCCCATGGCTGTGACGCGACCCCCGTACATGGCCCGGCTGGTGGCGCGACCCAGAGTCATGGTTCCCTTTGGGTAGGTGGCAGTGGAGCCCACGCCCTCGTGGTCACTCAGGTACATGGGCCCTGAAGTAGCATAGGCAGCGTTGAGTGATTGGATGTTCTCCATGGAGAGGGTCTTGCCCCCTGCACCACACCCGCTCCCACTGTGTGCCCTTCGATGGCCCAGTCTGGGGGACCTTGGAAGGCGCGGGGACCGTACAGGGCTGCTCTCTACATGACCTACAGCTCTGGCACTGCCGTACATGTCCCGTGATTCAGAGGAGTAGCCACCAGAGGGTCCTTTAACAGGGGCGTGCTCAAATGAGACTGCTCTGACTTTTTTCAACCAAACATGGATGACTTAGTTCATGTCTGAATGGGTGGGTTAGGTCACATCAATGTCAGATCTGAGGAAACAGGGGAGAAGGATTTGTCAGACATACAGCATTTCAGAAAGCAGAAAAGAAAAAAACAAAACAGCACATTCCAGTCAAAAATCTAAGCTCTAGCACGGGAAGGGAAATTTTATATTAGCTCTAAGATTTGTGTTAGTCAGCGTAGATAGACGACAAGCTGTCCCAATTTACAAGGCTCTAATTTCAAATGGCCTGCAGGAATTTCACAACATCATCCCAGATGTCGCACAGGCTAACATTTATCTATAGTAGATCTCAGTACTGATTAAAATATAACTTTACAGTCTCACATTTCTCTGACCTGAATCATGATAGCCATCATTTCATCAGAGTAAACAAAGACAACTATAGAGAGCATTTTAGATGTCGAGGAGCACGTTCTACAAAACATCAGGACATTTTGAATCACTTAGAATCCATCTGATTATTAATCATCTTTGTTTTCAATCACAGGTTTAGTACAACCAAGCCGTACAGCACAGATCCAATTAGCAGTTTAGTGCGTGATATCAAGCTCATCATCATCTTCTGAGAAGTGTTGTTTCTTAAGGCACTTTGTTAATTAGCTATCATATAAGTGATCAAGCAAATTTATTGGCACCCCCGGTAAAGACGTGGAGAAAGCTACGAAAACAAATCAGCTTTTGTTGCAGAAGCATAATCTAAAAAAAAAAAAAAAAAACTGAGGTGAGTGGAAACTTTTTAATAAGTCACTCATAACTTAATTTTTCCCTGGGTTATTAGCCAACCCTCAAAATTGCAAAGATAATCGAACATGCAATTAAAGAAAGCCAGGATCTGTAAGGAAATGGCTACAAAGAAACAAATTCTTGTCTAAAAGTTTGTTGCATGTATAATCCAGGCGATAATTTAAAACTTTAAAAGTGGGATTAAATCTTATTTCTGTCGTGCACAGTCAGCATGGAAGCAAGGATGATGAAGTCTAAAATGAATATAAAAATAAAATAGTGTATTTCCCCCACTGACAGGATGTGTTCAAACTAAAATTTCAGCATGAGATTATGCCACTGTAATAAACACATTTATGTTTAAGCCTTTAATAAATAATCCCCAGAGGTGCTGGTGCTCTGTGTGTGTGCAGAGTGCTGCACATAGAAATACAAGAAAGAAAAGAAGGGAAGAAAGACCAATAATTCTGACAAATAAAGACAAGCTGGACGAGAAATAAAGCAACATTTCTGCAGCACTGTCTTGTCTCATAAGCTAACTGATAAATATTTACTGACAGAGTGCAGCTTGGCTAACAGTATGACTGTAAGAACTAGTATAAGCCTTATCTGAGGCTTATACTAGAAAGAAAAACATCAGAAATCACCACGTATATCAAACATATGCTCTTTTAATGATAAAGGAATCATCTTTTGTTTAATAAAATTGTAAAAATGTACAAGTTTTAAAATAAATTTCTTCCTCCTGGGTAATAAGAAAAAAAAATGATACAGGAGACTTAATTTTTAATCATGTAATAATAGCTGGGCTATTTAATGCTGTCCTTTGGCTTTAATACATTTCTAGATTTATCACGGCTGTGATTTATGTAATCTGAAGGCATCATTATTTTACTGTGGTCGATATTTTTAGGGTAAAAACTGAATGCTATTAAACACAAATGTCAAGACAAAGACTCTAACCAGGGTTTTTAATTTCCCCAGCTGTCAAAGGATGAAAGATACCAATATGTCTAAGAAAAAAGTGGTTAATCATGTACGCTTAGACTTTTCCATCTTTCTCTCCTCCTGGTGACACTTCTCGGATTCGGTTGCCATGGTGTTCCTGTCTGGGCTAGCGCAGACAAATCACCTGTCGTCGTCACATGAAGGTGGAAGAAATCTTCAAAATATCAATCAAAGAAACTGTGGCTGGATACAGCCACAGTGACAAGGGGAAGGTTTGTTCTTTCTGCTTTTTAAGTCATTCCTGTATATCTTTAAAATAAAGGACAGATTGTTCATAAAAAGAGGAATCCATGTGTCAGCAGGTTCCTTCGATATATGAAAGTCACTCAGATTTCCCATGATAGCATCGCTGATGCTTTACATGACATTCAGAAAGTCATTCCCATCTGTACGATAAAGTTATAAGAGCATGGAAATGCTGAATATTAAGTCAACTGAACAACAAATTTTGATTTGCAATGAGGAAATTTTCAGATTTTCCATATTGAAGAGATGCATGAGAAAAGGCCCACAGACTGGCATTTACCTTGATCTGTACTCATCTGTGATCGGTTTGTGAAATATCTGATCTTTTCTCCACTAAATGCATCAAAATGAAGGACTATTGGTATTTTAATACTAGAAATGCCTCAAAAAATATTCTCCAATGCGTTTCATTTATTTATTTATTTATTTATTTATTTATTTATTTATTTATTTATTTATCATATAAAGGCTGGCAACATTTGCTTTGATGCAAGGGGAAAATATCCCCTTCCTGTTAGATTCACAATTACCAGAATTTACAAAGAATTTACAGAACATTTCTTTTTGTTCTCCTTTAAAACATATATCACAAGCAGTAGACCAGAGTTCAAAAAAAGCAGCCAGATCAGATCAGTGAGGTCTGGTGGGTAAATCTATCAGTGGGGGAAGCAGGATCCAGCAGGGGTTCAGACAAAACAGCATCCAGCATAAGTTCCAGCCAGCTTGCTGCTCACTTCTGAGGAAGATAAACACGTGTTTGCTTCTTTGATCCACCGGTAGTGCAGATAAACCAGTTTGTGTGTTGGGCTGCATCTCCTGTGACGCATCTTTGAGTCGGCGTTTGTCAGCTTTTGTGTACCTCACCACTGACGGGTCATTGATTAAGGGAGTCACTCCGCCATTTTTTCTTTTTTTTTCTTTTTGCCTTTCAACCGTCCCTTTCCTTACCGCAAACGACATCAATTCCAGGCTGCGTAATAAATCCAACATTTTTAATGCTTTCTTGTTACGGCTATAAGTTACGTAAGCGGAACAGGATTTTCAGGAAAACTGTAACTAAAGGGGGGAAATTATGTGAGCAGAGCAGAGCTGCTGAGCTAATGATCTGGGATGTGATGACGACACTTTCACTCTTACTCCACTGCACGTCTTTCTCCTATTGATATTAATTTTGCACTGCTGTCAGTTTGCCTGAAACATGCAGCAACCTCCACATTTACTGACACTTATTTGAAAATTCCCTAAAGTAAATTCATTTAAAGGGTTTATTGTGGACCTCCACAATAAATCTAGAAAGATGTTAGAACATGAAAATCGTGAGTTTTGTAAAGTAAACAAAGGATCTTCAGGGCCTGGCCTATAACTGGCTTTTAAAAATTAGATATTTAGTCCTAATTTAACCTTATTTTAATTGAATAGTGTCAGTAGTTTAATTGCACATGTACTCTGACTTTTTGCTTTAATGTTATGACTAATTTATGTTTATAACAGCTCCTTTAATTAAGATTAGATTTTAATTAATTATTTGTTCCTCTTTCCTGCCTGCTGTTTTTATTTTATATAACGCATCTTTTGTTCCCTTTGATGTATATGATTGATTTCTATCTCCCTAAATTAACTGTTTCTCAATGAAGACCTTCACTATACACAGGAAGTTATTTTTCATTACATGAATTAGATACATTGATTAGTATCTAATGAGTTTCATGGAGACTTTGTGAACCCGAGGTCACCTGCAGTTTTTCCGTGTGAGAGCTTTGGAGATCTGTCTTTTTTCAGTTTTATGTATCATCCTCTTCACTGTGCATTGCAACCAGATAAACTTCCTTCCAGCTAAATTTCTGATACCATTTGATTTATGAGACTTAACAGCAATCTGCCTAACTTTAAATGCAACATTTTTCTGTATTCCCCGTGAAGAAGAGAGGGGAACAGAAATGTTACCTCCATGTCAAATCTGCTTATTCCTCCTCACTACATGAAAATGTAGACAAAACTATGATCTATCTAAAAAAAAATGCTTAAGTTACATTTGTTTAATAGGAATTTCTATGGGTGGTTCTTTTGTGAGAAAATGTTATTTCTTATGCAGGATTTCTTCCCCACTGAATGTTTTTTGTTTTTTGTTTTTGTAAAATGAATGAGAATCTGTTTCTGCAATAGATTAAACTATTCAGGGCTTTTTACAGATTTTTACTTCAGCTGATGTGCAGAGTGCTGTAGTCCACAAGTGATTTAACTTTTGGTTCTTTTCATAAAACAACTCCATGATGATAAGCTCTATTGCACCCAAAGCCTCACTTTACAAAGCAAGATGAAGATAAACTCTTCCTTTTATGATCCCTTTCCGATTTTAGCGATTAGAATATTGAGGGTTTTTTCAATGGTTCCCAGTGTTACACATTCCTATCAATTTCCCACTTAAGAGTAAGGGTATCTTTATATAAATAATCAGCTAATGTGGTTATTACTGCTGACAGAGCGGGCATCTGTTGGAGAATAATGTTTTCATTCTCCAATTCACAGCTTCAATTTGAAATAGGTAGCAATATTGTCTTTTACGTTGACTTCTCAGCATTTCATTCTGTTGTTTTTCTACCTTATTCCAAGCAATAGAGCCGCACAAGGGAATTTAATTATCTCTTCAAGCAGTAACTGAGAAATTGTGGCTGAATTTGCTGTAAACCTATTTGTCAAATATTTGTCTAATACAAGTTATCACTTTCAAAATGTATCTGTATCATAATATGAAACGCACAGCTATAAATTTACAAATGCTTGTCAAAACAGCAGTGAAATAAGTTGGGGACTGAATGATTTGGTTTATGCGTCCACTTGTTGATAAGACAAGAAATATTAGATGACTCTACTAACACGGCTCTGAAAATGTGAAACTATATCAGCTATTCCAGTTGAACACATATTTTTTTTTTAAAAAAAACAGCCAATTCTGAAACAAGGCTTCTATTAAACTTGTATGGGACGCCCAAAATACTGTGCTACCCTGGGTTAAGGGCCATACTGACTTTAAAACTCTGTAACACATCCACAAGACTGTGGTGCCCTGCATAGTGATTTAAATTGTCCTGTAAATTGCTATGAAGTACACACAAGACTGCGGCAACCAGGGCAATGAGCTATATTGCCTTGCAACCTTGCGTAGTGCACCCACAAGACTCTGCCGCCCAGAGTAATGGGCCATATCGCCCATTTGTTGACTCATTTCTTCAGTTTTATGAATCCTGGAACATCACAGTTTTGAGCGACACTAGTTTTCTGACCTGGATCACAATGTTCTTTTTTTTTTTTTTTTGCACCCCACTTTCTGTGTTGGAGGTTGGGAGAGCTGCTGCAGCACATACATGTACATCTGATCAGCAAATGCCAGAGTGAAGGCAACGTGGAAATGAATCTGACTGTGCGGTGGTGCGGAAACAGCAGAGAGGATACAGATGTCCTGAAACAAAGATTTTTTTTTTTTTTTTTCCACAGGCACAGCCTTTGGAGAAAGAAGTCGGTTGTTCAATGAAAAAAAAAAATGAAAAAAAAAGCCATCATACAAATAACGCCATGTGTGGAGTTATATGGCACTGGGGAATATATGACATGTAGGGGAATCTTGTTGATATTTCTATGAAAGAGCAGATGCAACACATCCAGCCTCCTCATCAAGCATTCTACTACAGATCCTGACGCCTCCATGCCTCCTCCAGACTCAAACGCTTGGTGGACTGGATGAGATGTTAAATGTCTCCAAATTGGCCCGAGCACTCACGTCACCAAATGCCAGCGTTAGCAGACTTTGCTGCTCAGAAATAGCTCCTATATATTACAATATGTTGCCAGCTTTGATCTGAAGGTGGAATTGATGAAGACCAGCAGGGCACGACCGAGCAATTGACAGCACGCCGGGCCTACATGCTCGCCTGAAATATAACACTCTAACCTGTCGTGTGGGGGAAATCTTTATTTTTAGGAACAACGGCGCTCTGTCATCGCCTTTTCGCGACTATAGAGTAATATTAGTTTCCAGGAAACGGCTAGCTTATATCGTCTCGCTTAATTAAGCGAGCAGGAAAAAGATTTGGTTAAATGGACACAGCCTGTGCCTTTTTTTTTTTTTTTTTCTTTTTACCCCCGGCGTATCGCTCATCAAAACGCGCACAACAAAACGCGAACGAACACGTTACGTATTTCAGGCGTCATTCTTTCTAACGTTACAATAGTACGTGTTAGTTTTTCAGCCGTAAAATATCAACAGATACAGGTATACCTTTTCAGATGTCAATTGGTCTCCTTGGTCGCTCTGGACGGCATCTTGTCGCCTCCATTCAAGCCCAACAGCCTCTCTCAGCATCCTGCGCTGTCATTGGGCAGCGGGCAGCCTCTCTCTCCTCCTCCACACGGCCGCGAGCAGCATCACTGCGATACGGCAAGTGGCAGCTGGCAGGAGGGGATGGGCGGATCACATGCAGGGGGAGGAGAGAGAAGGAGCACCGGAGAGCGGCCTGGTGATGCTGATGGTAATGTTCAAATAAAACTTGTTTTATTTGATCACAATGCTCCGCAGGAGTATTAATACTCCTGTGAACTGTATCCCCCCTCCCTCTTTTTTTTTTTTTTTTTTTTTTTTCAGTTTTTTTTTTTCTTCCATGTAGTATATGAACTCAATCTAGAGCAGGGGTGTCAAACTCAATTTCACCCAGGGCCACTTCAGCATATTGGCCACCCTCAATGGGCCACA